CCTGGATTTTAACATTGTCAAAGAAGAAGCCTGTCTCACATTTCCAGGAAGACCGTTCCAGATTTTAGCCTTGTGAATCTGAAATGCAGCTTTATCATGTTTAGTTCTGACTCTGGGCAATAAACGATAAACACAGCATTCAAAAATCATTAGAACAACTGTAGTAGAAGGATATCAGTCATTATTGCAAATGGAGCTGCATTAAAAATCATGTTTCTCTACATCAAAGTACAAGTTAAACCACACAGGGCACAGTGTTATGAACACTACTGTACTGAACAGTTCATGCCAAAGTAAAAAAACATGATTGTAGCGCCTATGTTTGGATCAGTATTAAAACAGGCACAAGCTACACTCTAGGTTCCCCAGATGTAAAAACACAATCTGAAAGGCAGAAGAATGCATTTATTGAATGTTGATGTTCCAACATGTGTCCTCTCTTGGTCTTCAGTCTCTCATCACAAGGTCCAAGCACAGCACCTGAAAATGTGGAACATGTTTAGTTTCAACATAATGTGGCAAAGTGATATAACAACACATAACTTTCTATTAATGCCTCAAACCACTCGATCCATCACCATGTGATACAAACCTTGGCACTGCACTAGCTCGAGACACTGGAAGACACTCCGTCTGAGAAACTTGGGATAAGGCTTTGGTCATTGGAGTAATTCCATGTAAAAAACAATTGCAAATGTGCATTTGTTTTGCACATGGACAAATGAGCCCTGAAAGCTACTTACCCTGTATTACTCTACACATGTTGCATTTCCGAGGGGGCATTTTCCCCTTGTTGCCCTTTTCCCTCATCTTGAGTGAGTTGCTGAACAATCTGAGAAAAAGATAGATGTTTTCAAAGAGAATACACCAAATAATGGTTTATTCTAAAAACAACATAATAATACAGAAGAACAATCAATGTGTGAGAGTGTGATTCTTACCTTTGAACACTTTCAACACAGTCTGACACCTGTAAGACTCAAACACACATGACACATTAGGAATACACACAGAACATTAGTTATTGCAACAATCATGAAATTATACTCTATGGATTTCACAATAATTGACTGCATTAGCAAAGGTAAATGTATTTTAATTAACATATGGCTGGTTTTAAAGTTTACAAGAAAAAGTAAGAAATTGAATAGAGTTGCAAGCGCTAGTTAGCTTGCTACCAGCAGATGAATGGATATTTAATATTTGCAGCTAACAATAACAAAAATAACAACTTTAGTGGCTCATTTAAACAGCCACAGTGAGAAGAAGTGTAAGTAAGTAAGTAAGTAAGTTTGTATTTATATACCGCCTTTTCACTGCAGATCTGAGTCTCAAAGCGGTTTACAATTGTTAATTTTGGGCATTTGTCTCTCACTCCACACAGATGGGAGCGGGGTCGCCAGTACAGGAGGCGCATGCCAGAACTATTGGACATATTTTTAGTGGTAGGGGAAACCGGAGTACCCGGAGGAAACCTACGCAGACACGGGGAGAACATGCAAACTCCACTCAGAAAGGCCCTGGTCCGGCCAGGATTCGAACCCAGGACCTTCTTGCTGAGAGGCGAGAGTGCTATCCACTCAGCCACCGTGCTGCCCATGCTGAAAGTCTCTGACATTGAAGACCTGGGAAGACATTAAATCAATTTATTAAACAAAGCAATGCATGAACATTAAACTCTCTTTCTGCAGCAGGTAACATCTGTGTGCTCCTATGGTCCCACATGGTCCCACATGGTCCCACACCTGAACTCAACTCCAACTGATGACATCACAGGTGTCTAAATGATGGGAGTGTCCCAAATAGTAAAGCTGATCTCCCTGTTTTTAAACTTAGTTTACTAAGTACTGTTGTCTTTTTGCAGTTTATAAACCATTGTGAAATATACAGTAACTTTACATTTTAGAATTGAATTATTATTTTAAAACTCAAGAATCTTAACCTTTTTTAACACATACTTTGTTGGACAGTCTAACCTAAGAATTCTAATGTGTTAAAAATAGTTTGAAATATGAAAAACAATATCATATTTTAAACTTTAACTTAAAAACTAAAAAAAGGTGTCTCCCTTTCAGCTGAGCAGTGCCAGCCGTTATTATTATAGATTCATGCACTGGCAATTCAAAATACAGATAATATACAAAATATACTTAACAAAATCCACGTATACGTGAGAAAACAACTTACTTTCTGTCTCCAACTCTTTTCAATGTGGAAATGATACATCTATATCTAAAAACTGTGCAGACTGTGTACTTACAAGAGAGGGTGATTCCAAGTAAATAAAGCAGGGCAGCGACAGAGGTACAGATTCAACGTCATATCAACGTCTGGGAAGACATTGCTTTACGTCCAGATGCACACCTTACGTCGTTTAGACGTGGAAAACAGGTCCTCGACCGAGCGACTCACGTGTCAGGCTGTAAAGTTATAAGTTATACTCGCGCGGCGCATAAGTGTGCGTCGGTTGTTTAGGGTGTTATCTATTATTTTTTCACAGTAGTCAGAGAAAATGCCTGGCCGTGGTGTAGCGGTTGCGTAATGAGACTTCAGTCGCAAAGACGTGGGTTCAAATCCCCGTCGGAAAACTTTTGACTTTTCACTTTTTAGCGAACAATTTTTCTGTTTGGTTAAAAACGAATAAACACTCAACATAAGATTATGTAGTGGCTAATAATAAAACTTGTGAACCCATGCATTTGCATAAAATCTCAAGTGCTCACCCCTTATTTGCAAACTTGAGATTGTTAGCACAACAAATGCATACATTCACAAGTTTTATTATTAGCCACTACGTAATCCTATGTTGAGTGTTTATTAGTCTTTAACCAAACAGGAAAAAATTGTTCGTTAAAAATCAAAACAAATATGTAAAGATAATAATACACACACGTGGGCTCGAACTCACGTAACCAAGGCTGCACACATTTGCTTAACCACTACACTACCGTCAGGTTCACTTATATTGCTTCACAGCCTATATATTGTATTGCTAGATCAAGACGTACTGCGTCGGTCGGCCGATGACCTGTTTTCGACGTCTAGGGGAGGTCGGGATTGAACGTCATATCTACGTATATGGGAGGTCATTGTTTTACGTCCAGATGCGCACCTTGCACAGACGTCGTTTGGACGTAAATAAAAGGTCACGACCGACCGACACGATATTGACGTGATCTGGAGGTTGAGTGGACGTCGGATGTTTAGTGGGTAAAAGCCGTTCAAAGTTACTGTGTTCGATCCGCTGTTTGGTGTGTTGTTGTCGGGACTTCCCATCATCAAAAGTTACTCCATGTTTTCTTCTGACTTCTTTTTATGGAGCTGCTTGGATCGATAAGGTGCTGGGTAATAACCATATTATTAACATTTATGGACATAGGTCGTCTGCCCCTTATGGACCAATGTGGTTTTTTTTTTTCAATCATTGTGTTGTTATTTTGGGCTATACAAAAATACATTGAATTGAATTGAATTGAATATCTCTGTGAAGCAGGTTTATACAAAATGTCTTTTTTACTGCACTGAGGGACGAAAAAAAGAAAATCTTGCATGTTATCTCATTGACTGACAGCCGTTTTTGATGATTTCACTGATTCTCAAGACCCACAGAATATTATTTCCTAAGAATATGTGAAATATGAAACCAGATTCTGAAAGACTGGATTGTCTACTTTCATCAACAAGAATAAGTTTGTTTCTAGCTATTTTTGTTGTCCTGTAATCCCCAGTCGAATACAAGGTCTCATACAAACACGTCAATTGCAGTCAATGAGAACAGTGGACAAAAAGAGGGACATATTTTTGACTGATGCGTTGAGGATTATAGTGTAGTTCATAACTTCTATGATATTTTCTACTTGTGCAGATTCGAAAGAAGACATGGGTCTGCTATTGTGAAAACCCAAAAGTCAAATTGCCAAACCGTTGACAAGCCAGGACTGGAATATGAGTACATACCAGATTTAAACCTCGGCCAACCCAGAGCTGTAATAATGAAATAGTACTCCAAATCAAATCCATTTTTGTTTGTGCTGCACAAAATCACAACATAACTCCAAAGAAACCCTATGGGAAAAATGTGGGGAGAAGGAGAGACCCACTCCCATGGACTGGAGATGGGAGAGGACTGGAGAGGTCTGAGAGGACTGTACCATCGATGTGGAAGATGGTCCAGGCCTGGATCAGATGCTTGTTGGACCTGATTCAAATCCTGAAAGTTGAAAAGACCTTGAGTTAAAATCAGACAAGATTAACCACGACTGAAACAAAAAATGCACCTTTTGTGGTCGCAATTAAGCATATCGCAAAGCCAGCAATTATTTAAGTTCTTTGCCAACAATGAAATGAACTAAGGATAATGGTAGCATTGGACACACTGGACAAGCCATGTTCCAGCTTCTTTCCTCTGGTAGAAGATATTGTAAGCTGAAATGAAGGCCATCTCAATAAGCTAACAGCAGTCTGAACTTTTTTGATCTCGCACTTGTATGGAAGCGGTTTTTGTTAACAATTGCTTTTTTTGCTTGTTTTATTTGTCTGGTGCATTCTGGGAACTTTTGTACATACAGTATATTCCAATGGGTTTTTACTGGAAAAATGAAAAAAACAAAAAAAACAAACGGAATCTGAGTCACCAAGGACCAATCAGGAACGCCACCGGTCCGTCCCCTCTCGATCTCTTCGCTAAAGTAGAATTTTTGCGACAGTAGGCTCCTGATTGGTCGGTTGTTTGGGATCATATCTGGACTGACAGACAGATATAAACACCAGGATCGAAAAGAGCAAACAGCCACGGATTTTTCAAGCCAAAAATTATGAGTGTGACACAAACGGTTACTGAGATAGAGGAGTTTACTTTTACATGTAAGTCAATAGGAGTTAAAGTGAGTTGGAGCAAAACTTCCTCCTTGAGCACTTTCCTATTGGCTGTCCTTGAGCTAGCGGGTTAGCATTGTCCATCTGTACCCAGTCTATGTTTCAAACCAGCATCTTTTCTGTAGGTGATGGGATTACTGAACCACGGAGGAGTCCCCCACCAGCCTCAGAGCGACTACGCCATCTCCCCGCTCACTGGCGCCCTGGAGCCCTCTGCTGGTGTGACGTCAAACTGCAGCCAGCGTCTGGAGCAGCTGAAGGGTCTGGAGGGTCTGAGCAGTGTCCCCACCATGGCTGCCCTACCCTCCCTGCCCAGCGCACAGTCCTACCACCCCCCCAACCCCTACACCTCCTCCGGCCCCTACACTATGGAGCACGTGGGGCACTACCAGTACAGCCAGTATGCACAAAGTAAGGTCAATACAGCTGCTTTTATTACCTTTTTAAACAAGCAATTCACTTTTTTCTTCAATAACCCTAAATCACAACTGTAGTTATTGCAAAGGACTTTACAAAACCATCTAAATGGCCAACACAGATCAGATAATCAGTTCAAACACAAGAAATGCATTGATAGAAAACAAATAAAGACCATTGTCCATTAATGTGATTTAATGTAGACAGTTGTGGATCATCCCCACTGTAGACCCTAAACTCTATTATAACCTTATTTTTAAACACAGGAATGCCACATAAGCATCATCAACGTCAACTTTCTTTGTATGGCACATTTACAACATCACCAGCTTCCCAAAGTGCTTCACAAGAACACAAAAAACAATAAAAGAAAAGAAAATGGCTTGAAATCCGTACAAATAAATGTAAAGCGGAAACAATTCTGACAGTGGTAAAAGTTAAGGAACAAATGTGTTTTTAAGATGAAATTTGTGGGACAAAAAAAGGATTTCTTCATCTTAGTCTTTTAAATGTGTTTCTAGATTTTTTTTTAACTCAATGAAGAAGCCACCTTCATGTGAAGCATCCCGTTAGACCTCTGAAGCTAAGCTGGGCAGGGCCTGGTTAGTACTGTGATGGGAGACCTCTTCTGCAAATTTCCAAACTGCTGTTGAAATCACAGCTGCCCTGGGGCACACTGACAGAAGCGAGTCAACCCGTACGTACCATCGTCCCCTTTGACCGCCACCATTCACACCAGACTCATTCTAATGTGGGTGAAGTGTCTTGTTTAAAGCCGCACCACTGTGGCCCAGAGGTCTCCCATTACAGTACTAACCAGACCCTGCCCTGCTTAGCTTCAGAGTTCTGACTGGATCTAGACATTGAGGAGTAACTTTGCCCGTGTGTGAGTTTGAACTGTGGTTTGCTAGAAACACATCTGAACGACATTAAACGCCCCAGTGGCATTTATCCATCTGCACATAACGTAAACTCCACTCTCACATTTTCAAACCTTAGCTTGTGGTTTGTACGTAGCATTAGCGCCGCTTGTACGCCGCTGCCTCAAGTGTTAGCGTAAATTGCGCGCTTCTGATTACATCTCAGTAGTAATCAAGCCTGTGTTCAAGCAGAAAACCCCAGTTAGCTTCTATTTCACTCAGTTTTCCAACTCTCCCTCCCAACATTGGAGAGTTCCTTTCACTTAAAATCACCGTTTAAATCCACTTCAAACAAGATCCGAGTTTTGCGATGCCACGTCGCTGTGATTGCAAAACCCGCCACGTCCAATTTTCGCTTGCCGTCGTAAAATTTGCCCAATCAGAAGTGTCCATCCAATCCAATGACCTCTTGCCAACCTCAAACAACAACCATCAAAGACCTCTTTCCGACGGGGACGAAGGGTATCGAATTAATAGCAGAGTTAATATCCAAAAGCTACGCACGTCGAGGGAAATAATTCAAAATCACAAACGAGAAAGAATTGATGGCAAAGCCGGTTCCCGTGGGCGCAAAGAAACCTCAAAAAAGATGGAATCGCTCGCTAGACCTTGTTAGCGCCATCTTGAATTGATTAATCAGAGCGAGTGGACGGCCGGTGTGTGGTGAGGTGAGGAGGGGGGGTATAGGGGATGTTTTTGGGGTGGTTTTGGTGGGGCGGGGGCAGATGCTAATAGCCTGTGGCAGGGTGGATATTGGAAACAGGTGCTAGTGCTATAGGTCAGCGCGGTGGAAGAGTCAAGAGTCCACAGACTGAGAGACGAGACTCAGATCTCTATAACAAGAGGAGTTTAGCCTTTGTTTTGCTCGGGTGCTATGGTGTGTTTTGTTGTCTATGCAGCCTTTTTGTCTAAAACATACTGCAGCTTATTTATGTTATGATTTATTATTGAGAAAGTAGCCTGTTATATGCTCACACTGGTGCAGAAGAACATTGTCCAATCACTGGCATCTATGAATAAATACAATAAGATAAGCTCAAATGCATCTTATTTCTGACAGAGCCCTAAAACCAGATTTACAGATGGAACAAAAGCAAAATGATCTTGTTTTGAAAAGAACAAAACATTATATCAACAGTTCTTGAAATAAGACTAAATGGCTTTGTCCCATTGGAAAATATTTATTCAATCAATCAATCAATTTTAAATATAGAGCCCAAAATACTCGAGGCGACCAAAGTGCTTTACAATAAAATCACATGAAACCCATTAAAACATTTATGCAATCCACAGTTAATGATTTAAAAGGCCAAAATCATTACGGACAGGCATGTCAGGGGGCAGCTTGTTCCAGAGTCTGGGTCCAGGACTGAGAAGGAAGGACTATATTTTAGTCTATGGTTTAGACCTAGTTCTTGGTACTAGGGCTGAACGATATATCGAAAAAATATAGTTATTGCGTTATTGGTACATCTGATATCCATATCGAAGAGATGCACAATATTTGTCTTTTTTTTCTTAATTAAAAACAACAAAACAGACACATCAACATTCAAGAAGAACAACAAACAAACAAAAAGTATATAAATATATGCATTCGAATGTCATTAATGTTGTTCTTATTTTTTGTTATTTGTCTCTTGCGTTATCCAATATCATTATCCAAATACTAAACACTCGTATCGAATATTGCTTTAATTTCTAATATTGTGCAGCCCTAGTTGGTACTTACATGAGGAGTTGAGTTGATGACCTCAATGATCTGAGTCAAGTTTCGTTTTAACAAAATGTGCTCAAATTAAGATAAAAACCAAGCGATTGATATATATTTTTAATAATGATAAAAACACAGGTCCAAAGAGCAAAAGCAACACATGGCGGCACGGTGGCTGAGTGGATAGCACTCTCGCCTCTCAGCAAGAAGGTCCTGGGTTCGAATCCCGGCCGGACCAGGGCCTTTCTGAGTGGAGTTTGCATGTTCTCCCTGTGTCTGCGTAGGTTTCCTCCGGGTACTCCGGTTTCCCCTACCACTAAAAATATGTACAATAGGTCTGGCATGCGCCTCCTGTTCGGCGACCCCGCTCCCATCTCTGTGTGGAGTGAGAGACAAGTGCCCAAAAAATAACAATTGTAAACTGCTTTGTGACTCTGGTCTGTGAAAGGCGGTATATAAATAAAGCTTACTTACTTACTTACATACCTTTATACATTAGTATCAGCTTTAACAAATATCCAAATCCTAATAAAATGTAGGCTTTTATTTCTGTATGTACTTTACTTCTGTTCTGACTTCCCTCTCGGCAGTTAGCATCTGTTAGCACGTGTCGCTAACACAAGATGCTAACACGTTCCACATGTTTTTCGGGGCCCACGCACTTAAACACACAGCTAGATTTATGAGCTTGTATAAATCTCTTTTATATCCTCTCTTGTCCTTTCCCCTTTTGTCTGGTAATAATTTCACACCTGTTTCTTTGCATTTTCACAGGTGCCCTTCCTTATCTGAGGCCTGAGATCACCTAAAAAACCACCAGGACCACACCGAGGACCGGGACCAGGACTGCTAAGGGACCAAAAGTCTGGACCTCAATTCTGGGACCACGTTATTTCAAAATGGAGGAATATACAACGGAGTAAAGACCAAGGACTTTTGGACCGGAGCAGATGAAGCATGGACTAGTCTGAAAAGCCGCTGTTTCTATAGTAACTACGACCATTTTTGCTGAACTATTTCCAAAACTCCTCCCCAGTTTATAGACTTTATTGGGGATCTGAAAAGGGCTTTGTTGTTGATGTTATATGAATTTTTACAAACATAGAAATGTACCAAACCGATCGGAATTGCACTGTAAGAGGGACTTGGAGATATACTTGCTGTTGAATACATTACTTACGATATTCTACTACTACAATATTTACGACTACAAGAAATGCTTAAAGTGGTTCTCACCCCCGCTCCTCGGAGCTTACGTTACTCACATTTCCTGTTCAAATCTTCCTCTAAATGGGCGTAGCCTGGAGGACTGAAGGGGGCGTGAACGAGACCGGGCCGTTTACATTGCTCTGGGCGGGGGGCTGCTGACGTCAGGTCTTGCTTCAGACGTCAGGTCTTGCTGCCGCGCCAGTGTTGGCGCCAGATTCAAAATTCAAATGTAGTAATACAGGTCGCCAGCAGATGGCGCCTCACAGACGGTTTAAGGCAGAAAGTTTAACTTTCAACTAATTTGCACCAAAGTGACAAAATTATGACCAGGATATGTAGACAACACTATTGGACACTCATTTATACCGTTTATCAGCAAAAAAAAGTGGATTTGAGGGTGAGTTGTCCTTTAAACACTAGGAAACTACTAGACTGCAAAAAGTGATGAAGAATAAGTCAAAAAAATTCTCAAATTTGGCAAAATGTGTCTTAATCTGAATACATTCTGACTGAGCCTTAAAACAAAATTCCCCAATGGGACAAAGCAAAATGATATTGTTTTAAAAAGTTACAGAAATGTATCCCTTGGAATGAGAAAATAAAGCAATTGTTTTTAAATAAAACTAAATATCTTTGAAAATCATGTTTAAACACAGTTTTCAATGTGCTCAAATTGGGATAAAAACACTAGATGTAAGCAATTCTGAACAAATGCCCCCCAAAAAAGTATTCCATCTTTTACTGATTTCTATAAATATAAGTAATTCATACGGTTGTATCTTTAACGCAGACTAAACCATTATTACGTTGCAATGAACTATACACTGACACAGAAAAACTCACAAAGTCTGTCTGAGCTCAATTTCGAAAAGCAGACTCAGAATTCCATTGGTTTTAATGAGAGCAGTCAAAATGGCGGCTCTGGGAGCTCTAGTTCTCAATCAATCAACGGCTCTGTTTGGCAAGCTCCCAATTCCAAACACATTTTCTAATATAGGAATAAGGACAAAAAGATATTTAGAACATATCGAGCCGTGACCTGAAGGAGAAGACCAGCTTTTAGTTTCGTCTTGTAATTTTTTGAGAAAAATGAGTCATATCTTGTTTATCAAAGAAATTAGGCAAAGAAAAAAATATGCAAATAACTGCTACAGATTTTATAATAATCTATGCTATGATTTTGGTCATGAACTTGGCCACAAAGTCTATCAAATCTCATCTAATTGTTTCAAACAATGCTTTTGACAATCTCGACTCAAACTGAGAATAACAGTTACTAACTATTGTATCATATTAAAGCTGAGGTACGCAACTTTAAAGTGACTATGCAAACACAGTCTAAACTATGCTTTTGTTGTAATTTAGGCCTATAATGAGCTAAAGATAATTACAGTCAATTTACTACTCAAAAAGTTATGAAAAAAGTCAAAAAAATGCTCAATTTTGACTGCCCTAAAACAAATTTGCAAGTGGGAGAATGAGCAAATGTTTCTTGTTTTAAAAAGATTAAAGAACAGGCTTTGTCCCATTCGCAATTCTTGTTTTAAGCCACATTTTTTGACTTGTTTTCCTCACTTTTTGCAGTGTTCTCATAAGAAAGTGTTGAAAACAGCGAGTATATCTCTGCAGCTGTAGCGTCTCAGTGACATTCCAGCTCCGCCTCTTTCTCCTTCTTCTTTCTGTTTTCATTGATGTTTCGCGGCGCTTTTGTAGCTTTAACTATGGGGACGCTGAAAAAAAAAGGGCCTTCAAAGAGTGGAAAGTGACAGATGAGGAGGTGGCCTGAAAGCTGGGGGGATAGGCACGATCGATCACTCACTCCAAACACACACAGGACTATAAACCTCTTTAAGGACTCCTCTCTGGGCCCAAGAAAGACCGACGGGTCAAAAGGCACGACCGGGAGACACGCGAGAACCACGGATATTCAAGATGGCCGACAGCTGACCCACAAAGCAACAACACTTCACTTTGGCTTGGAGCTGCGACACTGCAAACAGTGATGAAAAAAAAATCACCCAAATTTGTCAAAAATAAAGCTCGATTTGCGCACATTTTGACAACAAAATATCTAACATATATAGCCATCTATTTGATCAATCTACCACATTTATCTATCTATTAAAACAAGATTGTTTTTGGTTAGCGTTCATTGAGCTAGCAGGTAAGCATTCAGTGAGCTAGCAGGTTAGCATTCATTGAGCTACGGCATCGCTGTCGTTTTGACTGCTTCCAATCAAATCAAGGGGAAATAAATAATAGAAATGAAATTTAAAAAATCCAAGTATGAGCCATAAGGACCAATCAGATGCTTGTCCAGTAGAAATTAAAGATTCACTTCAAAAATGTTGAACAAATTACGTAGTTTGAGTAGCTCTTCTCACTAAAGTCTTGAGGTCAAACCTGAGTTGCCAGGAAGAACCATAGATTGTGCATAGAGATACCAGCTAGCTTCTTTGAACATAAGATAGCTAGAGCCAATTTCCTTTTTATATTGGCATTTGTGTTGATGACGTTAGCTGAATTTCTTAACAGGGGCAGACATGTTGCTAGGACGGTTGCTATGGCAAGCTAGTGTTTCCCTTATATGGCTCATATCTGGATTTACAAAGATGATATCAATGTATAAACATCAGGATCACAGCGAGAGAGAAACCCTTCGATCTATAATAATAACTGGATAGGGTATTACTAGCTTATAGCTGTCCCGTCCATTGGCACAGGGGGCGCTGTGGTACTGCAGACTAAATTCACGCGGGCTACCCAGAAAAAAGAACTCAATGTAAACTACAACAGCTCAACCTCAGCGAGAGAACTTCCAGCTTTCAGAAATACCGTATTTTGTGGGGATTTTAGTGTCCCTTGTCATCCTGAACTTTTTTTCTTCTTAAATCCTTCGGTTTTCTTTAAATCCACACTTTACTGCTCCTTTCCTTCCCGCTCTGACTCCGCTCTGATCTGCAGAACCGGGAGGACCAGACGATGCCCAAATATGTGCGAGTTCCGCTAATCTCTTGGCCCCCATGAAGTCCCATGCGCTACTGAGCACAAGCCATTCATTTGAATTGGACGCCATCTTGGATCACGGGGGTTGGCCAAACCACAGATTTTAAACCCAAAATGTTGGGTGTGACAATAACACTTACTGAGCTAGAGTTTATATTTCAATGTAAGTCAGAGTTGGGAGCAAAACTTGATGAACATGAACATTGAGCTAGCAGGTTAGCATTCATTGAGCTAGCAGATTAGCATTGTCCATCTCTACACACTCTATGGTTAAAAATTACTAAGCATTCTCCTTAATGACATTAAGGCAAGGCACTTATTTTTCCAGTAAAATGTTGCTTCTAAACATGTTCTGAAGCCATTCCTTCTTTTACAAAAGTTTAATAACTTTCATTGTTTGTGTAACGAGTCTTTTGCTGTACATTCCTCATGTGCTTTTTATTTCATTTTAACGTTTTGTCGTACCGAAAAGTGGAAATTCAATGAAGGGAATTTTGATTTAGACCAATAACTAAATTCAGACGTGAGGTGCTTGGTTCATTGTTTAAAGGACAAAAACATTTCATAATTTCACGTATTTTTTGTATTATTGGACAAAGCTTGGTGACTTGGTGTCATGTGTACAAACGCATTATCATGACTATTTATAATAAAGTGGATCATACAGAGTGTTCTCATTTTTTTGACTTGGTTTGATACAAGTTTGAAGAAGCAGAGGCTTATTTTATCACCGACTCAACACACAAAACACGGAATACATAGACCATACAATAACATGCAATACACAACCATAGTAATTAAGTCATATTTACTTATATAGCGCATAGTGTTCAGTATTCAGATATTTTTCCATTTTGTCCTTCACACCATCCATTCATTCAATCATCACATTCAGACCTATTGTACATGTGTAAGCAGTAGGGGAATCCGGAGCACCCGGAGGAAACTTATTCAGACTTGTAGAGAACATGCAAACTCTGCATAGAAAGGTCTGAAGGTGGAATCGAACCCAGTCCCAACAGGAGAGCAGTCCCTGTGCTCCTTGGTTCATATGGCACTAATATGTCACAGATGTACTTTGGGTCAAGGCCCATGGAGAGACAGATATTGTTAAAGAAGAACTATCATGCATTCTTTTTTTTCCATTTGGCCTTTTCATGATCTTGAGACTATTTCTTTGTTATTTCATGATTGAGAAAGTGAGAGACCCCTGACAGAAACCAAATACTGAGTTCTTTCTGACACATGTGAAAATTAAAAAGATGGCTCCTCCAGATTCATCATGCTATTTTCCATCCCCCCGATTATTAACTGTGCTATATAAATAAACTTAATAAATAAAAGTCTAAAAGCCCATACAAAAGAATGATCAAACGTGGATTTTTGTCGCAAGAAACTCTATCTCTATTTATCCAAATGTGATTTATTGTGAGTATTTGTGGACAAAGCTGAGGAGAGTTCGAGGTCATGTGACTGATTAAAAATACTCCTGGATCCTCAGGACGAGGACAAACTGACTCTTGTTCTCTCTCTCTCTCTCTTAGACTTCTTTATTATGCTAAAGTTAGAGATTTTAGACTTGTTTATTATGCTAAAGTTAGAGATTTTAGACTTGTTTCTTTGTTGTGTGTATTAGTGTGCCTGTGTCTGTGCATGTGTGTGTAGCAGTACATGAGCAGATGTCTGTATTAGCGTGTGTCCGTGCATGTGCATCTGTGTGTATTAGTGTGTGTCTATGTGTGTTAGCGTGTCTGTGTGTATTAGTGTGTGTGTGTGTATATTAGTGTATGTCTATTTGTGTGTGTGGATCTGTGTGTATTAGTGTATGTGTGTGTGTATTAGTGTGAGTGTGTGTGTATTAGTGTATATTAGTGTGTATGTGTGTGTGTGTGTGTATGAGCCACATTCAGTGCCTTTCTCTGTGTAGGAGCCTGCGGTTATCAACCTAATTATAACATTCTTCTGATTAATGCTCAGGAGCTGGACTGTGTGTGTGTGCGTCTGTGTGTGCGTACACGGGCCACACTGTAAACAAAGTCTATTGGAGCGTTTGGGATCAGTCTCAGTGTGTTTCAATGAGACGAGACGCTGGAAACTATGAGTTAATCAGTGCAGAAGTTAGAGTTATGTTAGAGCTAAGTTAGAGCTACACACTGTACAAACACACACATGAATAAGAGTCCTAACCCCGACCCTTTGGCCACACAATGTCAGTTTTACTTTAACACACACACAGAATTCTGAAGCTACGACAAACTCCCCGTCTGTGTTTATTGTTTTGCGTTTGTATACGTTTTGAAATGGAATTCTAACTTTTGCCGTATTTTTCAAATTATGAGTCGCAGTTTTTGTAATAGTTTTGCCGGGGGTGAGACTTACTCTGCAGCGACTTACATTTTTATTTTATTTTCAATTTTGTTAGATTGAGCGGATTCTTTGCTAAATTTGTAGCATGTTGCTAATAAATAGCTTCCTTTAGCTTCTCTGTTAACTGGGGCGACAGTGTCTCAGATGGTTGAGCAATGGCCTTTAAGCCTGGAGGTTGTGGGGTTGATTCTGCCATGAGATCTTCTCCACCAACTCCCACAGATGTCTGCAGTCGTGTCCTTGGGCAAGACACCTCACTCTGCCTGAAGCCTAGCTCAAGTTCAAGGCTATGCTCTCACAGACAGAGCAGCCTACTTGATGTTGGATTTTTATCAAATATACTGTATTTGACTTAAATGTTTTTTTCCTTCTTTTTTACGCATTTTTGGCTGGTGCGACTTATATTCCGAAAACTACTACTACTTCTTCTACTGCTACTACTAATTAAACACATTACTTTCTCTTCTCTTCTTCACAGCTGTAGCCATGACTGTACTGACACTGGGAGTATTTGTTCTCACCCTCAAAACATCCACACAGTAAAACCTACACATATTTATATATTTAATACATTATTTCACATTCCAACTCTGAGAAAAGCCAACATAAACATTCTCCAAATCACATAAAACACATATCGCTTCATTATTAGTGCGTGTGTGTGTGTGTGTGTCGGTGCGAGGCCCGAGGCTCCTGCTGCAGATGAAGACAAATGTCACCTGTGGAAACTTTCTCCAACATTAGTTTTATTAATGAACGCAGCAGTGAAAAGACTTTTATTTCAGCGTTAGACCCAAGAGTGCACTCAGGTCGGACAAGAACCACCCCCCAGGACCCACACCCGAGACCTACTGCCCAGACCCACTGCCCAGGACCCAGCGAACAAGGACCCAACCCCCAAGACCCACACCTGAGACCCACTGCCCAGTCCTCGGAGTCTCTCTATGATGGAGAGTGGAAATGGATGAAAAATAAGTAGAAAATGGCTAAAAAAAATGCCAAAACTTATTTTAAAACTATAGGAGGATGTTCTACTTCCGGGTGGATCATCAAGACTATTGGTCCTCCCAACTGTCAATCATTCTGGTCATACTCGCTCGTCCAATTAGACCAGAGTTTTGTTCAAAAAGTATAGAGGGCGGTTCTTTCCTAAGATTTGGGAAAATCCTCAAATGGCTCCTGTGGCTCCTGTGGCTCCTATAGCTCCTGTAACTCCTGTAGCTCTTGCGGCTCCTGAGGCTCCTGTAACTCCTGTGGCTCTTGTGGCTCCTGTAGCTCCTGTGGCTCCTGTAGTTCCTGAGGCTCCTGTAGCTCCTGTGGCTCCTGTTGCTCCTCTGGCTCCTGTATTTCCTATGGCTGCTGTAGCTCCTTTGTCTTCTGTGGCTCCTGTAGCTCCTGTAGCTCCTGTGGCTTCTGTATTTCCTTTGGCTCCAGTGGCTCCTATAGCCCCTGAGGCTCCTATAGCTCCTGTAGCTCCTGAGGCTCCTGTAGCTCCTGTAACTCCTTTGTCTCTTGTAGCTCTTGTAGTTCCTGTAGATCCTGTGGCTCCTGTAGCTACTGAGGCTCCTGAGGCCCCTGTAGCTCCTGTGGCTCCTGTTGATCCTCTAGTTCCAGTGGCTCCTGTAGCTCCTTTGTTTTCTGTGGCTCCTTGAGCTCCTTTAGGAGCCTCAGGAGCCATAACTCCTGTTGCTTCTCTAGCTCCTGTAGCTCCTGAGGCCCCTGTGGCTCCTGTTGCTCCTGTGGATCCTTCAACTCCTGTGGTTCTTGTGGCTCCTTCAACTCCTGTGGTTCCTGTGGCTTCTGTATCTCCTGTAGCTCCTGTAGTTCCTGTAGCTCCTGTGGCTCCTGTATTTCCTGTGGCTAGTGTAGCTCCTTTGTATTCTGTGGCTCCTGGAGCTCATTTGGCTCTTGTAGCTCCAGTGGCTCCTGTTGCTCCTGTATTTCCGGTGGCTGCTGCAGCTCCTTTGTTTTCTGTTGCTCCTGGAGCTTCTTTGGCTCTTGTAGCTCCTGAAGCTCCTGTGGCTCCTGTGGCTCCTGTAGCTCCTGTGGATCCTCTAGCTCCTGTATTTCTTGTGGCTCCTGTGGCTGCTGTAGCTCCTTTGTCTTCTGTGGCTCTTTTAGCTCTTGAAGCTCCCGAGACTCCTGTAGCTGCTGAAGCTCCTATGGCTCCTGTTGTTCCTCTAGTTCTAGTGGCTCCTGTATTTCCTGTGGCTCTTGTAGCTCCTGTGGCTTCTCTAGCTCCTGTGGCTCCTGTAGCTCCTGAAGCTCCTGTAGCTCCTGGAACTCCTTGGGCTCCTGTGGCTCCTTAAACTCCTGTGGTTACTGTGGCTCCTGTAGCTCCTTTAGCTCCTGAGGCCCCTGTGGATCCTGTAGCTCCTTTAGCTCCTGTGGCTCCTGAGGCCCCTGTGGATCCTGGAGCTCATGTCGCTCATCAGGCTCCAGTGGCTCCTCTAGCTCCTGTGGCTCCTTCAACTCCTGTGTTTCCTGTGGCTCCTGTAGCTCCTCTGGCTCATCTAGCTCCTGTATTTCCTGTGGCTGCTGTAGCTCCTTTGTCTTCTGTGGCTCCTGGAGCTCCTTTGGCTCCTGTTGCTCCTCTAGTTCTAGTGGCTCCTGTATTTCCTGTGGCTCTTGTAGCTCCTGTGGCGCCTCTAGCTCCTGTAGTTCCTGTGGCTCCTGTAGCTCCTGTGGCTCCTGTAGCTCCTTAAACTCCTGTGGTTCCTGTGGCTCCTGTTGCTCCTGAGGCCCCTGTTGTTCGAACGGCTCCTGTATCTCCTGTGGCTCCTTAAACTCCTGTGGGTCCTGTATCTCCTGTGGCTCCTCTGACTCCTGAGGCTCCTCTGGCTCCTGGAACTCCTTTGGCTCCTGTAGCTCCTTTAACTCCTGTAGCTCCTGTGGCTACTTCAACTCCTGTGGTTCCTGTGTCTTCTTTAGCTACTTTGGCTCCTGTAGTTCCTTTGGCTCCTGTAGCTCCTGTAGCTACTGTGGCTCCTGTAGCTCCTGTGACTCCTGTAGCTCCTGTAGCTCCTGTGGCTCCTGTAGCTCCTGTGGCTCCTGTTGATCCTCTAGTTCCAGTGGCTCCTGTAGCTCCTTTGTTTTCTGTGGCTCCTTGAGCTCCTTTAGGAGCCTCAGGAGCCATAACTCCTGTTGCTTCTCTAGCTCCTGTAGCTCCTGAGGCCCCTGTGGCTCCTGTTGCTCCTGTGGATCCTTCAACTCCTGTGGTTCTTGTGGCTCCTTCAACTCCTGTGGTTCCTGTGGCTTCTGTATCTCCTGTAGCTCCTGTAGTTCCTGTAGCTCCTGTGGCTCCTGTATTTCCTGTGGCTAGTGTAGCTCCTTTGTATTCTGTGGCTCCTGGAGCTCATTTGGCTCTTGTAGCTCCAGTGGCTCCTGTTGCTCCTGTATTTCCGGTGGCTGCTGCAGCTCCTTTGTTTTCTGTTGCTCCTGGAGCTTCTTTGGCTCTTGTAGCTCCTGAAGCTCCTGTGGCTCCTGTAGCTCCTGTAGCTCCTGTGGATCCTCTAGCTCCTGTATTTCTTGTGGCTCCTGTGGCTGCTGTAGCTCCTTTGTCTTCTGTGGCTCTTTTGGCTCTTGAAGCTCCCGAGACTCCTGTAGCTGCTGAAGCTCCTATGGCTCCTGTTGTTCCTCTAGTTCTAGTGGCTCCTGTATTTCCTGTGGCTCTTGTAGCTCCTGTGGCTTCTCTAGCTCCTGTGGCTCCTGTAGCTCCTGAAGCTCCTGTAGCTCCTGGAACTCCTTGGGCTCCTGTGGCTCCTTAAACTCCTGTGGTTACTGTGGCTACTGTAGCTCCTTTAGCTCCTGAGGCCCCTGTGGATCCTGTAGCTCCTTTAGTTCCTGTGGCTCCTGAGGCCCCTGTGGATCCTGAAGCTCATGTCGCTCATCAGGCTACAGTGGCTCCTCTAGCTCCTTCAACTCCTGTGTTTCCTGTGGCTCCTGTAGCTCCTCTGGCTCATCTAGCTCCTGTATTTCCTGTGGCTGCTGTAGCTCTTTTGTCTTCTGTGGCTCCTGGAGCTCCTTTGGCTCCTGTTGCTCCTCTAGTTCTAGTGGCTCCTGTATTTCCTGTGGCTCTTGTAGCTCCTGTGGCGCCTCTAGCTCCTGTAGTTCCTGTGGCTCCTGTAGCTCCTGTGGCTCCTGTAGCTCCTTAAACTCCTGTGGTTCCTGTGGCTCCTGTTGCTCCTGAGGCCCCTGTTGTTCGAACGGCTCCTGTATCTCCTGTGGCTCCTTAAACTCCTGTGGGTCCTGTATCTCCTGTGGCTCCTCTGACTCCTGAGGCTCCTCTGGCTCCTGGAACTCCTTTGGCTCCTGTAGCTCCTTTAACTCCTGTAGCTCCTGTGGCTACTTCAACTCCTGTGGTTCCTGTGTCTTCTTTAGCTACTTTGGCTCCTGTAGTTCCTTTGGCTCCTGTAGCTCCTGTAGCTACTGTGGCTCCTGTAGCTCCTGTGACTCCTGTAGCTCCTGTAGCTCCTGTGGCTCCTGTAGCTCCTGTAGCTCCTATGGCTCCTGTATCTCCTTTGTTTACTGTGGCTCCTGGAGCTCCTTTGGCTCCTGTAGCTCCTATAACTCCTGAGGCTCCTTTGTCTCTTGTAGCTCCTGTGGCTCCTCTAGCTCCTGTAGTTCATGTAGCTCCTGAGGCTCCTCTAATTCCAGTGGCTCCTGTATTTACTGTGGCTCCTGTAACTCTTTTGTTTTCTGTGGCTCCTGGTGCTCCTATGGCTCCTTTGGCTCCTGTGGCTTCTGTGGCTCCTGTAACTCCTTTGTCTCTTGTAGCTCCTGTGGCTCTTCTAGCGCCTGTAGTTCCTTTAGCTCCTGTGGCTCCTCTTGCTCGTGTAGCTCCTGTGGCTCCTTCAACTCCTGTGGTTCTTGTGGCTCCTGTAGCTCCTGTGGCTCCTCTAGCTCCTGTATTTCCTGTGGCTCCTGGAGCTCTTTTGGCCCCTCTGGCTACTGTTGCTCCTCTAGTTCCATTGGCTCTTGTATTTTCTGCGGCTCCTGTAGCTCCTTTGTTTTCTGTGGCTCTTGGAGCTCCTTTTGCTCTTGTAGCTCCTGTGGCCCTCTAGCTCCTGTAACTCCTGTGGCTGCCGTGGCTCCTGTAGCTCCTTTGTCTTCTGTGGCTCCTTCAACTCCTGTGGTTCTTGTGGCTCCTTTGTCTCCTGTAGCTCCTATTGCTCCTGTGGCTCCTTCAACTCCTGTGGTTCCTGTGGCTCCTGTATCTCCTGTAGCTGCCGTGGCTCTTCTAGCTCCTTTGTCTTCTGTGACTCCTGGAGCTCCTTTGGCTCCTGTAGCTCTTGTGGCTCCTGTGTCTCCTTTTGCTCCTATGGCTCCTGTATTTCCTGTGGTTCCTGTGATTGCTGTAGCTCCTTTGTCTTCTGTGGCTCCTGGGGCTCCTTCAACTTCTGTGGTTCCTGTAGCTCCTGTGGCTCCTGTATTTCCTGTGGCTCCTTTGTTTTTTGTGGCTCCTGGAGCTCCTTCAACTCCTGTGGCTCCTCTAGCTCCTGTATTTTCTGTGGCTCTTGTGGCTGGTGTAGCTTCTTTGTTTTCTGTTGCTCCTGGAGCTTCTTTCGCACCTTTAACTCCTGTAGCTCCTGTGGCTCCTTCAACTCCTGTGGTTCCTATAGCTCCTCTGGCTCCAGTAGCTCCTGTGGCTCCTGTAGTTCCTCTGGCTCCTGTAGCTCATCTGGCTCCTGTTGCTCCTCTAGTTCCACAGTGGCTCCTGTGGCTCCTGGAACTCCTTTGGCTCCTGTGGCTCCTTCAACTCCTGTGGTTCCTCTAGCTCCTTTATTTCCTGTGGCTCCTGTTGCTCCTGTAGCTCTTGTGGCACCTGTAACTCCTTTGTCTCTTGTAGCTCCTGTGGCTCCTCTAGCTCCTGTAGTTCCTGTAGCTACTGAGGCCCCAGTAGCTCCTTTGGCTCCTGTTGCTCCTCTAGTTCCAGTGGCTCCTGTAACTCTTATGTTTTCTGTGGCTCCCGGTCCTCCTTTGGCTCCTGTAGCTCCTGAGGCTCCTGAAGCTCCTGAGGCTTCTGTAGCTCCTGTGGCTTCTCTAGCGCCTGTGTTTCCTGTAGCTCCTGTAGCTCTTTCAACTCCTGTGGTTCTTGTGGCTCCTGTGGCTCCTCTTGCTCCTCTAGCTCCTGTAGCCTCTGTGGCTCCTTCAACTCCTGTGGCTCCTGTATTTCCTGTATTTCCTGTGGCTCCTTTGTTTTTTGTGGCTCCTGGAGCTCCTTCAACTCCTGTGACTCCTTCAACTCCTGTGGCTCCTCTAGCTGCTGTTGCTCCTGTATTCCCTGTGTCTCTTGTGGCTGATGTAGCTTCTTTGTTTTCTGTTGCTCCTGGAGCTTCTTTCGCCCCTGTAGCTCCTGAAGCTCCTGTAGCTCCTGTGGCTCCTTCAACTTCTGTAGTTCCTCTGGCTCCTGTAGCTCATCTGGCTCCTGTTGGCTCCTCTGGGTGCTCTAGCTCCTGTATTTCCTGTGGCTGCTGGAGCTCCTTTGGCTCCTCTGGCTCCTGTGGCTGCTGGAGCTCCTTTGTCTTCTGTGGCTCCTGGAGCTCCTTTGGCTCCTCTGGCTCCTGTATTTCCTGTGGCTCCTGTGGCTGCTGGAGCTCCTTTGTCTTCTGTGGCTCCTGGAGCTCTTTTGGCTCCTCTGGCTCCTGTTGCTCCTCTAGTTCCATTGGCTCCTGTATTTTCTGTGGCTCCTGTAGCTCCTTTGTTTTCTGTGGCTCTTGGAGCTCCTTTTGCTCTTGTAGCTCCTGTGGCTCCTGTGGTCCTCTAGCTCCTGTGGCTCCTGTTGCTCCTGAGGCTCCTGTGGCTGCCGTGGCTCCTGTCGCTCCTTTGTCTTCTGTGGCGCCTGTAGCTCCTTCAAATCCTGTGGTTCCTGTGGCTCCTTTGTCTCCTGTGGCTCCTCTAGCTCCTGTATTTCCTGTGGCTGCTGGAGCTCCTTTTTGTTCTGTGGCTCCTGGAGCTCTTTTGGCTCCTCTGGCTCATGTTGCTCCTCTAGTTCCATTTGCTCCTGTATTTTCTGTGGCTCCTGTAGCTCCTTTTTTTTCTGTGGCCCTTGGAGCTCCTTTTGCTCTTGTAGTTTCTGTGGCTCCTGTGGTCCTCTAGCTCCTGTGGCTCTTGTAGCTCCTGTAGCTCCTGAGGCTCCTGTGGCTGCCGTGGCTCCTGTAGGTCCTTTGTCTTCTGTGGCGCCTGTAGCTCCTGTGGCTCCTTCAACTCCTGTGGTTCCTGTGGCTCCTTTGTCTCCTCTAGCTCCTATTGCTCCTGTGGCTCCTGTAGCTGCCGTGGCTCTTCTAGCTCCTTTGTCTTCTGTGGCTCCTGGAGCTCCTTTGGCTCCTGTAGCTCCTGTGGCTCCTGTGTCTCCTTTTGCTCCTATGGCTCCTGCATTTCCTGTGGGTCCTGTGGCTCCTGTAGCTCCTTCGTTTCCTGTGGTTCCTGTGGCTCCTTTGTTTTTTGTGGCTCCTGGAGCTCCTTCAACTCCTGTGGCTCCTCTAGCTGCTGTTACTCCTGTATTTCCTGTGGCTCTTGTGGCTGGTGTAGCTTCTTTGTTTTCTGTTGCTCCTGGAGCTTCTTTTGCTCCTTTAGCTCCTGTGGTTCTTATAGCTCCTCTGGCTCCAGTAGCTCCTGTGGCTCCTTCAACTTCTGTAGTTCCTCTGATTCCTGTAGCTCATCTGGCTCCTGTTGCTCCTCTAGTTCCACAGTGGTTCCTGTGGATCCTGTAGCTCCTTTGTTTTCTGTGGCTCCTGGAGCTCCTTTGGCTCCTGTAACTCCGGGAACTCCTTTGAATCCTGTGGCTCCTTCAACTCCTGTGGTTCCTGTGGCTCTTCTAGCTCCTTTATTTCCTGTGGCTCCTGTTGCTGCTGGAGAACCTTTGTCTTCTGTGGCTCTTGGAGCTCCTTTGGCTCCTCTGGCTCCTAGTTCCAGTGGCTATTGTATTACCTGTGGCTCCTTTATCTCCTTTGTTTTCTGTGGCTCTTGGAGCTCCCTTTGCTGTTGTAGCTCCTGTGGTCCTCTAGCTCCTGTGGCTCCTCTGGCTCCTGTAGCTCCTGTGGCTCCTGGAACTCCTTTGGCTCCTTAAACTCCTTTGGTTCCTGTGGCTCCTGTAGCTCCTTTGTCTTCTGTGTCTCCTGTAGCTCCTGTGGCTCCTTTGTTTTCTGTGGCTCTTGGAGCTCCTTTTGCTCTTGTAGCTCCTGTGGCTCCTGAGGCTCCTGTTTCTCCATTAGCTCCTGTGGCTCCTGTATTTCCTGTGGCTACTGTAGCTCCTTTGTCTTCTTTGGCTCCTGGAGCTCCTTTGGCTCCTGTAGCTCCTATGGCTCATGTGGCTCCTTTTAACTCCTGTGGTTCCTGTGTCTACTGTAGCTCCTCTAGATCCCGTGGCTCCTTCAACTCCTGTGGTTCCTGTGGCTCCTGTAGCTCCTGCGGCTCCTTAAACTCCTGTGGTTCCTGTGGCTACTGTTGCTCCTCTAGCTCCTGTTGCTCCTCTAGCTCCTGTATTTCCTGTGGCTCCTGTGGCTGCTGTAGCTCCTTTGTCTTCTGTGGCTCCTGTGGCTCCCCAGGCTCCTGTAGCTCCTTTGTTTCCTGTGGCTCCTGGAGCTCCTGTGGCTCCTGGAACTCCTTTGGCTCCTGTGGCTCCTTTAACTCCTGTGGTTCCTGTAGCTCCCTTACCTCCTGTAGCTCCTGAGGCCCCCGTGGCTCCTTTAGCTCCTCTGGCTCCTCTAGCTCCTTTATTTCCTGTGGCTCCTGTTGCTCCTGTGGCTCTTGTGGCATCTGTAACTCCTTTTTCTCTTTGAGCTCCTGTGGCTCCTCTAGCTCCTGTAGTTCCTGTAGCTACTGAGGCTCCTGAGGCCCCAGTAGCTCCTTTGGCTCCTCTGGCTCCTCTAGTTCCAGTGGCTCCTGTAACTCTTTTGTTTTCTGTGGCTCCTGGTCCTCCTTTGGCTCCTGAAGCTTCTGTAGCTCCTGTGGCTTCTCTAGCTGCTGTGTTTCCTGTGGCTCCTGTATTTCCTGTAGCTCCTTTGTTTTCTGTGGCTCCTAGAGCTCCTTTGGCTCCTGTAGCTCCTGGAACTCCTTTGGCTCCTGTGGTTCCTGTAGCTCCCTTAGATCCTGTAGCTCCTGAGGCCCCTGTGGCTCCTTTAGCTCCTCTGGCTCTAGTGGCTCCTCTAGCTCCTGTGGCTCCTTCAACTCCTGTGGCTCCTCTAGCTCCTGTGGCTTCTCTAGCTCCTGTGGCTCCAGTAGCTCCTGTGGCTCCTTGAACTCCTTTGGCTCATGTGGCTCCTTAAACTCCTGTTGTTCCTGTGGATCCTGTAGCTCCTTTGGCTCCTGTAGCTTCTGACGCTCCTGAGGCCCCTGTGGATCCTGTAGCTCCTGTGGCTCCTGTAGCTCCAGTGGCTCCTTTGGTTCCTGTGGCTCCTGTAGCTCCTGTCGCTTCTGTATTTCCTTTTGGCTCCTCTGGCTCCTGTTGCTCCTCTAGTTCCATTGGCTCCTGTATTTTCTGTGGCTCCTGTAGCTCCTATTGCTCCTGTGGTTCCTGTATCTCCTGTAGCTGCCGTGGCTCTTCTAGCTCCTTTTTCTTCTGTGGCTCCTGTAACTCCTGTGGCTCCTGGAACTCCTTTGGCTCCTGTGGCTCCTTGAACTCCTGTGGCTCCTGTATTTCCTGTGGCTCCTTTGTTTTTTGTGGCTCCTGGAGCTCCTTCAACTCCTGCGGCTCCTCTAGCTCCTGTATTTCCTGTGGCTCTTGTGGCTGGTGTAGCTTCTTTGTTTTCTGTTGCTCCTGGAGATTCTTTCGCTCCTGTAGCTCCTGAAGCTCCCGTGGCTCCTGTATCTCCTTTAGCTCCTGTGGCTCCTGTAGCTCCTGTGGCTCCTTCAACTCCTGTGGTTCCTATAGCTCCTCTGGCTCCAGTAGCTCCTTCAACTTCTGTAGTTCTTCTGGCTCCTGTACCTCATCTGGCTCCTGTTGCTCCTCTAGTTCCACAGTGGTTCCTGTGGCTCCTGTAGCTCCTTGGTTTTCTGTGGCTCCTGGAGCTCCTTTGGCTCCTGTAACTCCTGTGGCTCCTTCAACTCCTGTGGTTCCTGTGGCTCCTGTGGTTCCTCTAGCTCCTTTATTTCCTGTGGCTCCTGTTGCTCCTGTAGCTCTTGTGGCATCTGTAACTCCGTTGTCTCTTGTAGCTCCTGTAGTTCCTGTAGCTACTGAGGCTCCCGAGGCCCCAATATAGCTCCTTTGGCTCCACTGGCTCCTGTTGCTCATCTAGTTCCAGTGGCTCCTGTAACTCTTTTGTTTTCTGTGGCTCCTTGTCCTCCTTTGGCTCCTGTAGCTCATGAGGCTTCTGTATAGCTCCTGTGGTTTCTCTAGCTCCTGTGTTTCCTGTAGCTCCTGTGGATCTTTCAACTCCTGTGGTTCTTGTGGCTCCTGTAGCTCCTGTGGCACCTCTGGCTCCTCTAGCTCCTGTAGCCTCTGTGGCTACTTCAACTCCTGTGGTTCCTGTGGCTCCTCTAGCTCCTGTATTTCCTGTGGCTGCTGGAGCTCCTTTGGCTCCTGTAGCTCCTGTGGCTCCTTTTAACTCCTGTGGTTCCTGTGTCTACTGTAGCTCCTCTAGATCCTGTGGCTCCTTCAACTCCTGTGGTTCCTGTGGCTCCTGTAGCTCCTTAAACTCCTGTGGTTCCTGTGGCTCCTGTTGCTCCTCTAGCTCCTGTGGCTCCTGTCTTCTGTGGCTCCCCTGGTTCCTGTAGCTCCTTTGTTTCCTGTGGCTCCTGTGTTTTCTGTGGCTCCTAGAGCTCCTTTGGCTCCTGTAGCTCCTGTGGCTCCTGGAACTCCTTTGGCTCCTGTAGCTCGTTTAACTCCTGTGGTTCCTGTAGCTCCCTTAGCTTCTCTAGCTCCTGAGGCCCTTGTGGCTCCTTTAGCTCCTCTGGCTCCTCTAGCTCCTTTGGCTCCTTCAACTCCCGTGGTTCCTGTGGCTCCTGTAGCCCCTTTGTCTTCTGTGGCTTCTGTAGCTCCTGTGGCTTCTCTAGCTTCTGTGGCTCCAGTAGCTCCTGTGGCTCCTTGAACTCCTTTGGCTCATGTGGCTCCTTAAACTCCTGTTGTTTCTGTGGCTCCTTTGGCTCCTGTAGCTTCTGAGGCTCCTGAGGCCCCTGTGGATTCTGTAGCTCCTGTAAATCCTTTATTTTCTGTGGCTCCTGTAGCACCTGTGGATCCTGTAACTCCAGTGGCTCCTGTAGCTCCTTTGTTTTCTGTGGCTCCTGTAGCTCCTGTCGCTTCTGTATTTCCTTTTGGCTCCTCTGGCTCCTGTTGCTCCTGTAGCTCCTTTGTTTTCTGTGGCTCTTGGAGCTCCTTTTGCTCTTGTAGCTCCTGTGGTCCTCTAGCTCCTGTAGCTCCTGTGGCTGCCGTGGCTCCTGTAGCTCCTTTGTCTTCTGTGGTGCCTGTAGCTCCTGTGGGTCCTGTGGCTCCTTTGTCTCGTGTAGCTCCTATTGCTCCTTCAACTCCTGTGGTTCCTGTGGTTCCTGTAGCTGCCGTGGCTCTTCTAGCTCCTTTGTCTTCTGTGGCTCCTGGATCTCCTGGAGCTCCTTTGTCTTCTTTTGCTCCTATGGCTCCTCTATTTCCTGTGGGTCCTGTGGCTCCTGTAGCTCCTTCGTTTCCTGTGGCTCCTGGAGCTCTTTCAACTCCTGTGGTTCCTGTGGCTCCTGAGGCTCCTGTATTTCCTGTGGCTCCTTTGTTTTTTGTGGCTCCTGGAGCTCCTTCAACTCCTGTGGCTCCTCTAGCTCCTGTATTTCCTGTGGCTCTTGTGGCTGGTGGAGCTTCTTTGTTTTCTGTTGCTCCTGGAGCTTCTTTCGCTCCTGTAGCTCCTGAAGCTCCCGTGGCTCCTGTAGCTCCTGTGGCTCCTGTGGCTCCTTCAACTCCTGTGGTTCCTATAGCTCCTCTGGCTCAAGTAGCTCCTGTGGCTCCTTCAACTTCTGTAGTTCCTCTGGCTCCTGTTGCTCTAGTTCCAGTGGATCATGTATTTCCTGTGGCTCCTTTGTTTTCTGTGGCTCCTGTAGCTCCTGTGGCTCCTTCAACTCCTGTGGTTCCTATAGCTCCTCTGGCTCAAGTAGCTCCTGTGGCTCCTTCAACTTCTGTAGTTCCTCTGGCTCCTGTAGCTCATCTGGCTCCTGTTGCTCCTCTAGTTCCAGTGGATCATGTATTTCCTGTGGCTCCTTTGTTTTCTGTGGCTCCTGTAGCTCCTGTGGCTCCTCTAGCTCCTGGAACTCCTATGGCTCCTTTAACTCCTGTGGTTCCTGTAGCTCCTGTATCTCCTGTAGCTGCCGTGGCTCCTGTAGCTCCTTTGTCTCCTGTAGGTCCTTTGGCTCCTGTGTGTCCTGTAGCTCCTATGGCTCCTGTGGCTCCTTCAACTCCTGTGGTTCCTGTGGCTCCTTTGTTTTCTGTGGCTCCTGGAACTCCTTTGGCTCCTGTGGCTTCCTCAACTCCTGTGCTTCCTGTGGCTCCTCTAGGTCCTTTATTTCCTGTGGCTCCTGGAGCTCCTTTGGCTCCTCTAGTTCCAGTGGCTCCTGTATTGCCTGTGGCTCCTTTAGCTCCTTTGTTTTTCTGTGGCTCTTGGAGCTGCTTTTGCTCTTGTAGCTCCTTTGGTCCTCTAGCTCCTGTGGCTCCTCTGGCTCCTGTAGCTCCTTTAGCTCCTGAGGCTCCTGTATTTCCTGTGGCTCCTTTGTCTTCTGTGGCTCCTGTTGCTCCTTTAGCTCCTGAGGCTCCTGTATTTCCTGTGGCTCCTTTGTCTTCTGTGGCTCCTCTGGCTCCTGTAGCTCCTGAGGCTCCTGTTGCTCCTTTAGCTCCTGAGGCTCCTGTATTTCCTGTGGCTCCTCTGGCTCCTGAGATTCCAGTGGCTCCTCTAGCTCCTGTGGCTCCTTCAACTCCTGTGGTTCCTATATCTCCTGTGGCTCCTGTAGCTGCCGTGGCTCCTGTAGCCCCTTTGTCTTCTGTGGCTCCTGTAGCTTCTCTAGCTCCTGTGGCTCCAGTAGCTCCTGTTGCTCCTTGAACTCCTTTGGCTCATGTGGCTCTTTAAACTCCTGTTGTTCCTGTGGCTCCTTTGTCTTCTGTGGCTCCTGGAGCTCCTTTGGCTCCTGTAGCTCCTATGGCTCATGTAGCTCCTATGGCTCCTGTAGCTCCTTTGTTTTCTGTGGCTCTTGGAGCTCCTTTTGCTCTTGTAGCTCCTGTGGTCCTCTAGCTGATGTGGCTCCTGTGGATCCTGTGGCTCCTTTAGCTCCCTTGGCTCCTGTATTTCCTGTGGCTCCTGTAGCTCCTTTGTCTTCTGTGGCTCCTGGAGCTCCTTTGGCTCCTGTAGCTCCTATGGCTCCTGTCGCTCCTTTTAACTCCTGTGGTTCCTGTGTCTACTGTAGCTCCTCTAGATCCCGTGGCTCCTTCAACTCCTGTGGCTCCTCTAGCTCCTGTTGCTCCTGTGGCTGGTGTAGCTCCTTTGTTTTCTGTTGCTCCTGGAGCTTCTTTGGCCCCTTTAGCTCCTGTGGCTCCTGGAACTCCTTTGGCTCCTTTAACTCCTGTGGTTCCTGTAGCTCCCTTAGCTCCTTTAGCTCCAGTGGCTCCTTCAACTCCTGTGGTTCCTGTGGCTCCTGTATCTCCTGTGGCTCCTGTAGCTGCCGTGGCTCCTGTAGCCCCTTTGTCTTCTGTGGCTCCTGTGGCTTCTCTAGCTCCTGTGGCTCCAGTAGCTCCTGAGGCTCCTTGAACTCCTTTGGCTCATGTGGCTCCTTAAACTCCTGTTGTTCCTGTGGCTCCTGAAGCTCCTTTGGCTCCTGTAGCTTCTGAAGCTCCTGTATTTCCTGTAGCTCCTTTGTTTTCTGTGGCTCCTAGAGCTCCTTTGGCTCCTTCAACTCATGTGGCTCCTCTAGCTCCTGTTGCTCCTGTGGCTGGTGTAGCTCCTTTGTTTTCTGTTGCTCCTGAAGCTTCTTTGGCTCCTTTAGCTCCTCTGGCTCCTGGAACTCCTTTGGCTCCTTTAACTCCTGTAGCTCCCTTAGCTCCTGTAGCTCCTGAGGCCCCTGTGGCTCCTTTAGCTCCTCTGGCTCCAGTGGCTCATCTGGCTCCTTCAACTCCTGTGGTTCCTGTATCTCCTGTAGCTGCCGTGGCTCCTGTAGCTCCTGTGGCTCCTGTAGCTCCTGACGCCCCTGTGGATCCTGTAGCTCCTGTATTTCCTGTGGCTCCTGTAGCTCCTTTGGCTCCTGTAGCTTCTGAGGCTGCTGTAGCTCCTGTGGCTCCTCTGGCTCCTGTAGCTCCTTTATTTTCTGTGGCTCCTGTAGCTCCTCTAGCTCCTGTGGCTCCAGTAGCTCCTGAAGCTCATGTGGCTCCTGTAGCTCCTTTGGCTCCTGTAGCTTCTGAGGCTCCTGAGGCCCCTGTGGATCCTGTAGCTCCTGTCGCTCCTCTGGCTCCTGTATTTCCTGTGGCTCCTGTAGCTCCTGTGGCTCCTGTAGCTCCTGAGGCCCCTGTGGATCCTGTAGCTCCTGTGGCTCCTTCAACTCCTGTGGTTCCTGTGGCTCCTGTATCTCCTGTAGCTCCTGTAGGTCCTGTGGTTCCTGTAGCTCCTATGGCTCCTGAGGCTCCTCAGATTCAGATTCAGTTTATTTGCAGTAAAAGAACCACATTGGAATACATTAGCAAAAAGTCTCCAGTGTGCACAGACAAATACAGACATAAAACAACATTAAAAGACAACAAAAGAAAACAAAACAGTACACAAATGTCACTGTGAAATCGATCGACTAAAACAGTTTCAAAACAAGTGAAAATCATTAAAGTTCTCTGTTCACACTGATAACAGCTTGTGGATAAAAACTGTTAGCGTAACGAGATGTCCTGCATCTCATAGAGCGATATCTTCTGCCAGAGGGAAGAAGCTGAAACATGGCTTTCCCAGGGTGACTTTTAAACAAAGCTCTTAGGATTGTTAATGACTCTTCTGTCATTAACAACCCTAAGAGCTTTGTTTAAAAGTCTGGATTCATTTCAATTTGGAGAGACGAGAAAACAAGAAGCTTTTGAGTATTTTATTGGGAGGAGGTTTGGCGCCCTAGGCCCCGGTGCGGCCTTCAGATCGGAGGGGCTCCTGCGATGGAGCGTGCCAATCCCCCGGGACCTAGGCACTGGTGGCGGCATTTGGCAGCGGGAAGCAGATTGAAGGCAGATTGAAGGCAGGGTGAAGAGGAGGAGGAGGGGAGGCGGTGGTTGCAGGCTTCGAGAAGGCAGAGAGTGGGAGTTTCTCCGCTTTTAAGCGGCTTGCCTGGCCGGTACGGTGATTGGAAGGGGGCGTCTGCTGAGCGATAGGCTGGGGATGAGAGCCGGCCTGGAGGGGGTAACTTTGGCTGACGTCTACCAAATTGAATTTCCGCTGGCTGCATTTCAATTTGGAGAGACGAGAAAACAAGAAGCTTTTGAGTATTTTATTGGGAGGAGGTTTGGCGCCCTAGGCCCCGGTGCGGCCTTCAGATCGGAGGGGCTCCTGCGATGGAGCGTGCCAATCCCCAAAAAGGCTGTGTGTTGATGGAGTTTTGCAGCCTGGTTTGGAGGGGACAGAACGTCGAGACTACTCTATGCTGTGACCGCTATCGCTATATACTGTGACCGCTATCGCTATATACTGTGACCGCTATCGCTATATGCTGATGACCATCATGCGCTAACCATTTTTTGCTATATACTGTGACCGCTATCGCTATATACTGTGACCGCTATCGCTATATACTGTGACCGCTATCGCTATATACTGTGACCGCTATCGCTATATACTGTGACCGCTATCACTATATACTGTGACCGCTATCTACTGTGACCATAACTTGCGGATACTCAGCTGCTGCCGCCACCAGGAAGTTTAGCGAGTGTTTTATGGAGATGCCAAAAGCCGCTGGGCTGCCAGGATGGTCGAAGTGTCAGGCCTGATGTATGAGGAGAGGGCCGATGATGACCAGCGGCCCAGCTGCTGGAGGGCGGAATGGGGGAGCCCCAGGGACGCGGCGCGCGTGGCGGCGCCTATCCGAAAGGAGTGGGCTGTGTAGAGATGGGGAGACAGGTTACAAAGCAGCAGTACGGACTTGAGTTGGGCTCTGAACCAGTTGGATGACATGGGAGGTTATCGGGAGTAAGAGATCTCCTTTCCGAGAGCGGAGGCGAGTGTAATGCATCATGGATCTGTAGGGACAGGGAGAAGTGTCAGACCGAGCTATGACTATATTGCAAGCGCCTTTGCGTTTGGAATGCTTGAGGTGGAGGTTGAAGTAGTCGGGATAATATGACAGGTCAGAGAAGGCAATGTCTCGGGATGCATTAAAGGTGGCGTGAGAGTTTGTGAATTCGCTTATGCGTAAGCCCATTTTCATGTAGGATGCAGCGGAGGAGAGAAGGTGAAGAGACGGAGGGACTAGACCAGGGCGAGGGATTCCGTGCAGGGGATCTGGCATGGCGATGAATTGGCAGAAGGGCAGAGGCGTCAGAACTCCTGGAATTTAAAGCGAGAGAGAGAGTCATCAAGACAGTTAGGTGACGAGGGACGTGACGAACAGTGATGATAAATTGTTCAGGACTCAGAGCCATGTGATGCGTCTAAGGAGGATGTGATTTTGGGGAGAGGATGAACGACCTCTGTTAATTATTTCGATGACGTCGAGGTTGTCGCACGTCACGGAAATCCTTTTCCTATGCCGCGTATGGTTCCGCAGCACGCAGGCTACGGTCACGGGATATATCTCGTGGAGCGCGGAGGAGATGCTTCGAGGGAAAGCGTCGGGCCGGGGCCCGGCGAACCACTGGTCCTGGAAAAACCCCCAAAACCCACGGACGGGGCTGCGTCCGTGAAGAACCGCGGGGCATCTGAGACAGGATGATGTCACTGTAAAAAAAAGAGATACACCATCCCAGCGGCTCTGCAGACGGGACCGAAACGCCAGGTCGGAGCGGCGCCCCGCGTCCGGGCAGACAGCGTCATTGAGGGAGGAGACGGAGCCGGCGAGGGAGAGGAGTCTGGAACAAAAGAACGACCTTGGGGAATGATACGGACGGCATAATGAAGATGCCCAAGGAGGGAGAGCAAGGACGCCTCGAAGTGACGGGAAGGACAAGGCAGACCGGGAGAAAGCGCTGATGCGTTCGAGCTTGTCCAGCGGGAGGGAGGCCTCCATGGCGCGTGTGTCGAGGCGGATGCCGAGAAACTCCAGAGCGTTGGCGGGGCCTGAGGTCTTTCCGGAGTGGAGGAATCCGAGGGCAGAGAAGGCGGGCCTGAGCTTGCGGAGAGAGCCCCCGGAGCAGTCTGAGGGTGGGTTGACTACGAGGGAATTATCGGGGAGATGCAGACAGAGGGGAGAGGTTGCGGGACACGAGACGCCGAGGGACCTAAACAGAGCTTGCAGTCTAATGTGAGGGATTTAAATAGAGCTTGCAGTCCAAAGTGAGGTATTAAAACTGAGCCCGCAGTCCAAGTGAGGCGTTTAACGGAGAGCCTGCAGTCCGGTGCGAGGGAGTTAAACGACCTGTAGTCCGAGGTGAGGGATTAAACTGAGAGCTTGTAGTCCAGAGTGAGGGATTCAACATTGCCCGCAGTCCTAAAAGAGGGATTTATGACTGAGAGCTTGAAGTCCAAGTGAGGGATTAAACCGAGAGCTGCAGTCCAGTGTGAGGGATTTAAACAGGTTTTACGGTCCAAGTGAGGGATTAACTGAACCCGCAGTCCAAGTGAGGAGTTTAAACTGAAAGCCTACAGTCCAGTGTGAGGGATCCAACAGAGCCTGCAGTATTTTTATATATATATATATATGTTTTATTTGTTTGTTTTTTTTTGTTTTTTTTATTTATTTATTTATTTATTTATTTATTTATTTATTTATTTATTTATTTATTTATTTATTTATTTATTTATTTATTTATATTTATATTTATTCATATTTATATTTATTTATATTTATTTATATTTATTTATTTATATATATAAGCGTTCCAGATATGAGCAGTACCATATATGCAGTTCCAACATGAGCAGTTCCATATAAGCAGTTCCATATATAGCAGTTCCATATGTAGGGTAATAATATAACAGTAAGCTATAAATTTAGTAGTGTGGAGCGGCTAGTCTCCGGATCAGAAACTCGCCGTTCCACCAATGGGTCTGTCTTATTTATTTTGGGCACCAGTAGACGTTTGAGGGTCTACGACAGACCCAAACCAACTTTGCCTCGAGTCAGTCTTATAATCAAAAGGTAGTTAATTCGTAAATCGGCCAGGGATATACCGAAATCTAACAACACGACTCTGATAGGATTGAGTTAAAGAAAAGGGGGTTTATTGATTACAAAAATGAAGGTAAAAATATAACGAAGGGGATTTCTGGTCACATTAAAGCAGAAGTGGTATACATTTCATTCGAATCACACATTTAACATAACCTGGCAAAAGCCAGATTGATGATTGTGTAGAACTCTAACGCGTTCTCCGCGATATCAATCTGGGATTTCTCCCGGAGAATCCTTTCGGGGAAAGGAGGGGTAAGCAGCAGAATACTTGAAGCTGATTGGGCGAAGTGACGCTGTGTGCCCGCCTACCAAGGTTGCCGTCCAGAAATGTACCCGGATATCCCGCCCTAAACCCCCAGACTGGCGCGTGATTGGCTCGCACACCCAGTGGTTCGACTCGAAAAGTGTAAGCGGGAGCGGTACAAGATGTATTCTCGAGTGAACTCACAAATACCGCGAGAATTCAGCTTGCAGGCAAGGTTACATTTAACAAGAACAGTCTTACTTTGTAGGAGCGTAGAGGATGGAGAAAGGATTTGGGTTGGGGAATCAGCCCACGTGGTTTCTTTGTCTGGGCAGGCGGGAGGTACGAAGCCAGCGAGTTGGTCCAGCTGCTGATCCACGCGTATACAGCCCAGTCCGGAATGGGTTGCGCGCGTAGAGTCCAGAGCCAAGAAAAAGAGGCTGGTGATGGAACAGTTCATAAGGTCCCGAGCCCGAGGAGAGTGTGTTTTGCGGAGTAGGAGGCCCGATGCGTGCTGGCGCGGCCGTAGTTGGAGACAAGTACCGCGGGACGCAGATGGCCAGGGAGAGCTGGGATAGTGATTTCAGGAGAGGACAAGAGGCAGTTTGTTGCGTTGTGAGAGTTTATATTGACTTCTGAAGGGGGCGCGTCCTTTGACGTCATCCATGTGCGACAGCCTCCTCACAACAGGCGGTTTGTCAAGAAAAAACACACAAGATCAATACAGCCACCCATAACACATCGTACAAACACACAGTGTATTTACATCACAGACATCAACACACACGAGTAAGGTCCGTAACGTTATCGACATAATATCACAGAGTAATGTCCTTTTCGAGCGTCCGTCTCGGGTGCAGTAGTGTCCAGTGTCCGCTAGGGAGCGCCAGAGTGCCGTGGGAGAGTCTCAGGTTGTGGAATGTCCCCTGAGCGATTGCTGATGAATGATTCCTGATCTCCGTTTGGCAGGAGGGCACACAGATGTCCTGCTCTGTTTTATTGCCCCTCTGGGTGTCGTTGCGGCGTTCCTGGTGAATGTTAGCCTTTAATTGAACCCGCAGTTACTTTGAAGTCTCAGGAGCTAGGGAGGGCATGTTTACGGAAAGGGTCTGCTATTCACGCCCGATTGGCGCTCACCTTTTCCTCACCCTACACATATATAGCAGTTCCATATATAGCAGTCCCATGTATAAGCAGTTCCGCATGAAGCAGTTCCAGGTACGGTATAACAGCTCCAGATATAAGCAGTTCCAGATATAAGCAGTTCCGTGAGGGATTAACCTGCGAGCTCGCAGTCCAATGTGAGGGATTCAATTTGGGAGCCGCAGTCCAGAGGGATTTAAACGGGGCTTGCAGTCCAAAGAGAGGGATTTAAAACAGAGCTCGTAGTCCAGAGAGGGATTTAAAGAGAGCCTGCAGGCCAAAGTGAGGGATTAAAACTGAGAGCACGCAGACCAATGTGAGGGATTAAACTGAGGTCTTGCAGTCCAATGTGAGGAATAAACGGAGCTTGCAGTCAGAGTGAAGGATTTAAACGGAGCTTGGTTAAGAGAGCCTGCAGACCAATGCGAGGGCTTTAAACTGAAGCTTGCCCACCAATGCACGGGGCCAACTGAGCCTGCAGTACAAGCGCGGGGCCAACTGAGCCTGTAGTACAATGCGAGGGGAATAAACCGTCCGCAGTCAGCATACTTACCCACAACGCCAGAAGACAAGGGACAACACAACGGGACCACGCCGTACCGGCACGAGGAGGCAGGGATGCGCACGGCTCCCACCGCACCGGGCCAGACCGGCCGTATGCAGCAGCAGGCCGCGACGAGACGAGCAGCGGCGAACCCGCAGAAAGAGCCCGCAAAGGAGGAGAGCGGCAAAGACCCACGGACCACAGCACGAGACCCGCAGCAGGTGCAGCGGCGCGGAGGAGGAGCAGACCACACGCAGCAAGACAGAGGACAGCAGGGACCGCACGAGTAAGCGTGAGTAGACAAAAGCGATTCCTCCAGAACGATTCTTTGCAGGCTTCGAGAAGGCCGAGAGTGGGAGTTTCTCCGCTTTTAAGCGGCTTGCCTGGCCGGTACGGTGATTGGAAGGGGGCGTTTGCTGTGCGATAGGCTGGGGATGTGAACCGGCCTGGAGGGGTTAACTTTGGCTGACGTCTACCAAATTGAATTTCCGCGGGCTGCATAAAGAACCTCCAGAACAGGAAGCTCACAGCCCACGGTCCTCTTTGCAGAGCGGAGCACCTTGTTTAAAGCTCTCTTTTCTTTATCTGTGATGTTTCCAAACCACACAGACACAGAACCAACAAGTAAACTCTCAATGGTGCAGCGATAAAAGTTAAGCAGAATCTTAGAGTTAGTGGTAAATTCTCTAAGTTTATGCAGAAAGTAGAGACGCTGACGAGCTTTCTTAACGACTCGGTCAGTGTTTTTAACCCATTTCAGGTCATCAGACAGAGTTAGACCCAGAAACTTGCACTCCTCTACAATCTGCACCTGGGAGTTGTCGATTACGACAGGCAAATGAGAACTATTGCGACTGAAGTCGTAGACCAGTTCACATGTTTTCGATGCGTTCAACTGGAGGTCCTGTGGCTCCTCTAGCTCCTGTATTTCCTGTGGCTCCTGTGGCTACTGTAGCTCCTTTGTCTTCTGTGGCTCCTGGAACCCCTTTGGCTTCTCTGGCTCCTGTAGCTCCTGAGGCCCCCGTAGCTCCTGTGGCTTCTCTAGCTCCTGTAGCTCCTTTAGCCCCTTTGGCTCCTGTAGCTCCTGAGGCCCCTGTGGCTCCTGTAGCTCCTGTGGCTCATTCAACTCCTGTGGTTCCTGTGGGTCCTGTGGCTCCTTCAACTCCTGTGGTTCCTGTGGCTCCTTCAACTCATGTATCTCCTGTAAATGCTGTGGCTTCTATAGCTGCCGTGGCTGCTGTAGCTCCTTTTGCTCCTGTGGTTCCTGTGGCTCCTTCAACTCATGTGGTTCCTGTGGCTCCTGTATCTCGTGTAAATGCTGTGGCGCCTGTAGCTGCCGTGGCTCCTATAGCTCCTTTGGCTCCTGTAGCTGCTGTGGAAACTGTCTCCTGCGGCTCTTCTAGCTCCTGTGGCTCCTGTAGCTACTGTGGCTCCTGAGGCTCCTTTAGCTCCTGTAGTTCCTGTGGCTCTTGTGGCTCCTGAGGCCCCTGAGGTCCCTGTGGCTCCTGTAGTTCCTATGGCTCCTGTAGCTCCTTCAACTCCTGTGGTTCCTGTGGCTCCTCAGGCTCCAGTGGCTCCTCTAGCTCCTGCGGCTCCTTCAACTCCTGTGGTTCCTGTAGCTCCTTCAACTCCTGTGGCTCCTGTAGCTCCTGAGGCCCCTGTGGCTCCTGTAGTTCCTATGGCTCCTGTAGCTCCTGTGGCTCCTTCAACTCCTATGGTTCCTGTGGCTCCTCTAGCTCCTGTGGCTCCTGTAGCTCCTCTAGCTCCTGTTTAGTTTAGTTTAGTTTATTAAGATCCCCATTAGCCACTGAGATGCAATGGCTAATCTTCCTGGGGTCTCCTCAAAATCATTATATGCTTTTACATATTTGTAAATATGTGGCTCCTTCAACTCCTGTGGTTCCTGTATCTCCTGTAGCTGCCGTGATTCCTATAGCTCCTTTGTCTTCTGTGGCACCTGGACCTCCTGTGGCTCCTTCAACCCATGTGGTTCCTGTGGCTCCTGTGTCTCCTATGGCTCCTGTGGCTCCTTCAACTCCTGTGGTTCCTGTGGCTCCTTCAACTCCTGTGGTTCCTGTGCTCCTGTATCTCCTGTAAATACTGTAGCTCCTTTGGCTCCTCTGGCTCCTGTTGCTCCTCTAGTTCCAGTGGCTCCTGTATTTTCTGTTGCTCCTGTAGCTCCTTTATCTCCTGTAGCTCCTCTGGCTCCAGTGGCTCCTGTAGCTGCCGTGGCTCCTTCAACTCCTGTGGTTCCTGTGTCTCCTGTAGCTCCTATGGCTCCTGTAGCTCCTGTGGCTCCTTCAACTCCTGTGGATCCTGTGTCTCCTGTAGCTCCTATGGCTCCTGTCGCTCCTTCAACTCCTGTGGTTCCTGTAGCTCCTGTGGCTCCTGTGGCTCCTCTGGCTCTAGCTCTTGTATCTCCTGTGGCTCCTGTAGCTGCCGTGGCTCCTGTAGTTCGTTTGTTTTCTGTGGCTCCTTCAACTCCTGTTGTTCCTGTGGCTTCTGTGTCTCCTATGGCTCCTGTAGCTCCTGTGGCTCCTTCAACTCCTGTGGTTCCTGTGTCTCCTGTAGCTCCTCTGGCTCCAGTGGCTCCTGGAGCTCCTTTGGCTCCTGTGGCTCCTTTAGCTCCTGTAGCTCCTCTGGCTTCTCCAACTCCTGTGGCTCCTGTAGCTGTCGTGGCTCCTGTAGCTCCTTTGTTTTCTGTGGCTCCTGGAGCTCCTGTGGCTCCTTCAACTCCAGTGGCTCCTGTGGCTCCTGTGGCTCCTGTGCCTCCTGTAGCTCCTATGGCTCCTGTACCTCCTCTGGCTCCTTCAACTCCTGTGGTTCAGATTCAGATTCATTTATTTGCCATTTGCAGTAAAACCACATTGGAAAAACTGTGCAAGACTACCCCAGTGTGCACCAGACGACACACACCAGAGCTCTTGCCACGGCGCCATGCGCCTGTGGTTCCTGTAGCTCCGGAGGCCCCTGTGGCTCCTTTAGCTCCTGTAGCTCCTCTGGCTCCTCCAACCCCTTTTGCTCCTGTAGTTGTCTTGGCTCCTGTAGCTTCTTTGTCTTCTGCGGCTCATTCAACTCCTGTGGTTCCTGTGGCTCCTCAAGCTCCTGTAGCCTCTGTGGCTCCTTCAACTCCTGTGGTTCCTGTGGCTCCTCTAGCTCCTGTGGCTGCTGGAGCTCCTTTGTCTTCTGTGGCTCCTGGAGCTCCTTTGGCTCCTGTTGCTCCTCTAGTTCCAGTGGCTCCTGCCTTTGACACTGTCGACCATGAGATCCTCTTACAGAGACTAGAGGACTGGGTTGGCGTCGCTGGCTCCGCCCTAAGTTGGTTTAGGTCTTACCTTGAAGACAGGAAGTACTTTGTGGAGATTGGAAACTGTGTCTCAGATCATATGGCCCTGACCTGTGGAGTCCCACAGGGGTCGATCCTGGGACCTCTTCTGTTCAATCTCTACATGCTGCCGTTAGGTCAGTTAATACGCAGAAACAAAGTGTCCTATCACAACTATGCAGACGACACTCAGATCTATGTCTCACTGACTGCAGGAGAACATGGACCAGTGGACTCACTCCTTCACTGTATCCAACAGATCAGTGAGTGGATGCAAAACAACTTCCTTCAGCTAAACGCAGACAAAACTGAAATGATTGTCTTTGGTCCCCAGAAACAAAGAGAGAGCGTCATCTGTCATCTACAGTCTCTCTCCCTAAAACCTTCAAACAAGGTCAGAAATCTAGGGGTAATACTGGACTCAGACTTAAATTTTAATAGCCACATCAAATCAGTAACATCAGCAGCTTTTTACCATCTAAAAAACATTGCCAGGATCAAAAACATAGTGTCTAAAGCAGACCTGGAGATTCTTATCCATGCATTTGTCTCCAGTAGGTTAGACTACTGCAATGGCCTGCTCACAGGTCTCTCCAAACAGGCTGTAAAACAGCTGCAGTACATTCAAAATGCAGCAGCTCGAGTCCTGACTAGAACCAGGAAGTACGACCACATTAGTCCAGTTCTCAGGTCTCTGCACTGGCTTCCTGTGGCTCAGAGAATAGACTTTAAAACAGCTCTGCTTGTGTACAAGTCTCTCCATGGCCTCGCACCAAAATATATTAGTGACATGTTAGTCCCATATGAACCAGCCCGGACTCTGAGGAGCACAGGGACTGGACTCCTGTTAGTGCCCAGAGTCAGAACTACAGTAGGTCCCATTCCGTTTTGTCGTCTTCATTCACGCTTCTCGGGAATCACGCAGCTGCGTGAAAAATAGTACATCTTATCGCCACAAGGTGGCAGGCTAAGTCCGCTTTAGCTCTGCCAGCGACTTAGACGCTCAGGTATAAGACTGCGTGCAAACCTTTCTAGAGCCCAGAGGTGTTATGTTGGCTCCCTCCTTGGACCTGCGCCTCTCCCTCTTTGACCTGCACCTCTCCCTCCTTGATTCTGCTCCTCTCTCTCTTTTGACTCTGCTCCTCTCCCTCCATGAACCTGCTCCTCTCCCCTTTGACCTGCTCCTCTCCCTCTTTGACCTGCTCCTCTCCCTCTTTGACCTTGCTCCTCTCCCTCCTTTGACCTGCTCCTCTCCCCTCTTTGACCTGCGCTCTCTCCTCTTTGACCTGCTCCATCTCTCCCCTCTTGACCTGGCTCCTCTCCCTCCTTGACCTGCTCACTCTCCCTCCTTGGCCTGCTCTCACCCTCTTTGACCTGATCCTCTCCCTCCTTGACCTGCTCCTCTCCCTCTTTGACCGGCTCCTCTCCCTCGCCTCTTTGACTGCTACCTTCTCCCTCTTTGACCTGCTCCTCTCCCCTCTTTGATCTGCTCCTCTCCCTCTTGACCTGCTCCTCCCCTCTTTGACCTGCTCCTCTACTCTCTTTGACCTGCTCCTCTCCCTCTTTGACCTGCTCCTCTCCTCTTTGACTGCTCCTCTCCCTCTTTGTTCCTGCACCTCTCCTCTTGACCTGTTTCCTCCTCTTTGACCTGTCCTCTCCTCTTTGACCGGTTCTCTCCCTCTTTGACCTGCTCCTCTCCCGCTTTGTCGTGCTCTCCCCCTCCTTGGACCTGCTCTCTCCCCTCTTTGACTGTTTTCTCTCCTCTTTGACAGGCTCCTTCTCTCTCTTTGATCTTTCCTCTCCCTCTTTGACTTGCTCCTCTCCCTCCTTGACTGCCCTCGCCCTCTTAAAGTTATAAATCAAAGATTTATTTTGGACAAAGCCACAAACAGTCCTGTCCCTTGGGTGTGTCTCCCTTGACGAGGTTCACCTGGGAGCTTTTAACCTTGTGGCTCCACCCACATGGGTTGGCCCACAATACAAAATGGCTGTCTGAGACACGCCCTCTTCAACAGGTACCAAATGCATTCATTAAGTGGCATTAAAAGGGACAAAGTAACCTGCTCCGTCACAGTGGTGTATTACACCAAAGAATAGAGAAGAAGGAGGAGGAATAGAATAAGGAGGAGAAGAAGAAGGAGAATAAGATGAAAGAGGAGAAGGAGAAGAAGAAGAAGGTCTCACAATTCTTAGGTAGACTGGTCCAGATTTTAGCTGTACAAATCCTCCCCCGGCAGTCTGTGGGGTCCGCGTACACCAGCTTGGGAAACACTGACTTAAAGAACATAATTTAATCCTCTCCTATATCTACAGCTCAACTAATGCGACGCTCGTGGACGAAGTATTTCTGAATTGTTCCCGACACAGAACCATAATGTTTTTTCAGATTTACTCATTTTCTTGTCCTTGTGCCTTTTCTCTTCAAGGTTTTTCATCTGCTGTAATTAAACGCGCTTGTCTTTACACCAAAAAACTGAGGCAGGAAGCGAGGCCAAGACGAAAAGATGATTCTGATACTGCACTGGATCCAAGACCGAGACTGGGAATCATTAAGTGAAATATGTTGATGAGGAGTTAGTTAAATGTATGCACTGGTCTGGAGCACATTGGGGACTTTTTCACATGTATTCCATTGGCAAATACACTAAATATAGATATTTTGTATAGTTTTGTTACTTTTACAATTTACAAAGCACCAGCCCCTGATCCTCCTGCAGGTGGTGTTTCAGTGGGGGCTTCAGGCAAAATGGGGTTTAAAAGGTGCAGTATATAGGAGGATTTTCTACTACTTCCAAGTGGATCATCAAGACTATTGGCCCTCTCAAATGTCAATCATTCTGGTGATATGTGCTCGTCCAAAAAGACCAGAGAGTTTGAAAGTTCTTTTGTAAGATTTGGGAAAATCCTCCTACATATCTTTAAGTGTCTTGCCCAGGGACACAACGACAGCAGACATCAGTGGGAGCAGATTACATGGATCGTGGAGGGATTGAACCCACGACTATTCAGTCCAAAGTAGCTCTCTGCCTCTCCTGTTGTTTTAAAGTAGCTCTCTGCCTCTCCTGTTGTTTTAAAGTAGCTCTCTGCCTCTTCTGTTGTTTTAAAGTATCTCTCTGTCTCTTCTGTTGTTTTAAAGTAGCTCTCTGCCTCTCCTGTTGTTTTAAAGTAGCTCTCTGCCTCTTCTGTTGTTTTAAAGTAGCTCTCTGCCTCTTCTGTTGTTTTAAAGTAGCTCTATGCCTCTTCTGTTGTTTTAAAGTAGCTCTCTGCCTCTTCTGTTAACTCTCTGCCTCTTCTGTTGTTTTAAAGTAGCTCTCTGCCTCTTCTGTTGTTTTAAAGTAGCTCTCTACCTCTTCTGTTAACTCTCTGCCTCTTCTGTTGTTTTAAAGTAGCTCTCTGCCTCTTCTGTTGTTTTAAAGTAGCTCTCTGCCTCTTCTGTTGTTTTAAAGTAACTCTCTGCCTCTTCTGTTGTTTTAAAGTAGCTCTCTGCCTCTTCTGTTGTTTTAAAGTAGCTCTCTGCCTCTTCTGTTGTTTTAAAGTAACTCTCTGCCTCTTCTGTTGTTTTAAAGTAGCTCTCTGCCTCTTCTGTTGTTTTAAAGTAGCTCTCTGATTGAAAAAAGGTTGGAGACCCCTGGTATAGTTGATCCTTGGTATAGTTGGAATTTTGTCAAAATCCTGGGATTACAGAGAAAATATCTCTAAACTGAGATTATAGAAGTCTCACTGAATTTGACTGTTTCCATAGCTACAAGGAAAGAACTGTCCATTTCAAACTGTAGACTCTTTGGGACGTTGTGATGTCACATGTATCATATCAGCTCAGCGCAGACAGGACTTTCCATCTGATTTTAAGTTCCGACTGAATTGAAATAAACCGGAATAACTTAAATAAATGATTAAATGAGTAATTTGTAATCGTGGACGTGGAGTATTCTAAACGACCGGCGCCTCTTTGTCACAACCCGCACTCGCAAAAACACAAATGCTCCTGATTTGAATACATATTTGTTTGGTAATTATTCCCCTGATTTGCATGTTCTACTCGCTTTGAACTGAGAGCCAAGAGTGTGTAAACCCCGCCTCCTGGATCTGAACACAACTCAAATGAGTCTGGAGCAGATTTCAGAGTCCTGCTGTGAGACCACTTTGCTTTTCCTCCAATAAAACTCTCCCCAGAGATTTCAGACATTCACATTTGTTCACAGTCGAAACAGAGAATCCAGAGAAGACAGATTTATAGAGATTAGAGAATTATATGCAACAATTAATACTATTTAGATTAGATTCAATGTTATTGTCACTACAGTTCAGCATCAAACCAGACAAGATAAGATATAATATCCTTTAATCATCCCACAGTGGGGAAATGTCAGTGTTGTATCGCACTGACAGGACAGTAGTAATAGACACAGGGAGTACAGAACATATACAAAATAAGTAGCTGCTATGTTTTAGCTAGCTGTAAATGCTTCAATATCAATATATCTCTGATCTAAATGTAAATATTGTAAAGTTATATACATATAATAAGTATAAGTGATAAGTACTGTCTTTTTGGGATCATAAATTGTTTTTGTCTGTAACATACAATTGGTTTATTTTTAGACCTGAAGAAAGCGTTTGACACAATTGATCACTCTATTTTATTTGATAAACTTGAGAAGTATGGGGTCAGAGGTATGGCATTGGATTGGGTAAGGAGTTATTTAAGTAAAAGGAGTCAATACGTTAAACTGGGGAATGTTTTCTCATCGTGGATGGGAATTAAGTGTGGAGTCCCTCAGGGCTCAGTTTTAGGCTCAAAATTGTTCATTCTTTATATAAATGATTTATGCAAGGTGTCAAAGGTTAGTTTTGTTTGCCGATGACACTAACGTTTTTTTTTCTGGACCTGATTTAAATTAGTACACTTTGAAAAATCAAATTTGATAGTTTTTACTTCTTCCCACTCCCTTTCATACATGAAACAAGACAGTGTATTATTTGTATTATTATTTTTACTATCATTACAATATTTTTATTTACGTATACTTCTATGTTCAACAGAACATTATTACTATTTATTTTGGTGCTTTTGTTTTGTATATCTTGTTTGGTTAAGTCTTGTAACTTGGCATATACGAAATGAAAAGAAATGAAAAGAAATGAAATGAAATAGTCCTCCTGTGGACTCACCACCTGCAGAGGGTCAGTGAGGGGCTGGTGCTATGAGACTTGGGTGGCATCTCTGACTGCCACCCCCTGACCCAGAAATGGATCAAAGGGTAGAAAATGGATGGATGGAAATGAAATAGTTTGGCCTTTTTTTTCTCCATCTTTTATTATGCATTTTTGGCTGGTGCTATTTACAATCCAAAAAATACAGTCGATAAAGTGACATTCTGAAGTTGCAGTATTCCACATGAATGACAGCCTGTACATGTCATTCATATGTACAGGCTCAGCAGTTCTCATTGTACAGTTTGACCGCAGCAGGAAGGAATCTGCAGAACCTCTCAGGTGCCGTGGGTGGCTGAGTGGTTAGCACTCTCGCTTCTCAGAAAGAAGGTCCTGGGTTCGAATCCCGGTCGGAACAGGGCCTTTCTGAGTGCAGTTTGCATGTTCTCCCCGTGTCTGCGTAGGTTTCCTCCGGGTGCTCTGGTTTCCCCTACCACTAAAAACGTGTACAATAGGTCTGTGCCTCCTGTACTGGCCCCTCCCATCTCTGTGTGGAGTGAGAGACAAATACCCAAAAATAACAATTGTAAACCTCTTTGTGACTCTGGTCTGTGAAAGGCGCTATATAAAAAAACATTACTTACTTACTTACTCTCCTTCACACAGTTGGGGTGGATGAGTCTGTCACTGAAGCTGCTCTCCAGATAAGATAAGGGAACATGGACAGTAAGAGCAAACAGGGAACACTAAATATACATTATGAGTAGCTGCTATGTTTCTTAGCTGTAAAGGCTTCAAAATTAATCTATATAAATCAAAATGACAAAAAGACAGGACATCTACAAACAGGAAATGTGCGAATACGTAAAAAAGTGACAATATAGTCTCTTGTGCAAACATGTTCTAACGCATATGGGTCGGTGATGATCGAAAGGTGAGACATAAATGCTATTCTTACTTACTCACAACTTTATAAACACAAAAGAAAGAGTTTTTTGTGTCTTTAGTGTTTGGTTTGGATCCGTCCTGAAGGAAACAGCAGGAGAAAAACACATCTAAAACAGCCAACTCCAGCAAACACCAACAGATTCAAAGTTATTTTAGTTTCATTTCCATGTCGTCGTTTGTCTGAGTGGAAACACAGAGACACAGCATTTACTCAACGAGGTCAAACAGACAATATAGTCACTTAAAACCAACCATTTTTGTTAAAGCTGCTGTACTTAACTTTTTGTCAGATAAATTGTGTTCGCCCCAACAGAAAAAGTTTTGTAAAAGTTACATCTCAGAATGCTGTGTATTTATAATTGACTGTAGCTCAGTTGGTAGGGCGTTGGTCTTTGAGCCTGAAGGTTGTGGGTTCAAGTCTACCACAAGATCTACTTCATGACTCCCACTGATGTTGTTGTGTCTTTTGGCAAGACACTTAACCCCACTTTGCCTGAAGCCCCCGCTGAAAGATCTCAGCTTCTGTGGACTCAGCACCAGCAGCAGGATCAGTGAAGGGCTGGTGCTGTGACTGCTACCCCCTGACCCAGAAATGGATTAAGGGGAAGAAAATGGATGGATGGATGGATTAAAGAGCCCTGGGAGTCACTGTTAGACATTTTGGGCTGAGTGAGAGTGAGTATTTCACTTTTCTGTCTGAAAAAGTGCACTATAAATACCTACACCAACAAATACATGCAGTAAAAACTCTCAAAGCAACCAAACTGTTGTAAGAGCAAAAAATGATAACATATGAGGTAATAAAAGCTTGAATCAAGTGTTAAAAAAAAAAAAATAAAATTATGTTATTCTGACACATTCTGACTTAGCCTGGCCTTAGCCATCCGTACACTCCACTCAATCATCATTTCACTGCATGTAACGTCTGGGTCTGGTCCCTGGGTGATGCGGTATTTGATAAAACATTTCTCAAAAATGTTTAATAAATAAGTAAATAATATTTAAAATGTATGTTTTTAAACTAGAATCAAGTTGTTTGGGGCCAGTTTTATTTTATCATTTTCATGTTCTAATGAAAGATCATTTTTAATTATTTTAAGCAGTATTTTACTTATTTTCATAGATTTATTTGGCAGTGAAGGGAGACATTTCTTGTATCTTGTTTTAAGTCAGAATGTGCTAAAATTAAGACACGTTTTGCAGAATTTGAGCAATTTCTGGCTTGCTTTTCATCATTCTTCAGGCTAGATCAATGGATTGAATAATATATTTCAATAGAATGCTAATATCACCTTTAATAATACCACACATCCCATAATCCTTCACATTCACTGCTTCATTACAACAGTTTTTCTGTGAAGTAACAAAAGTAAACGGCACCAACAGGAGGTGGCTCTTATCTCCTTCTGTGTCTATCTCCAAACTCTGCCCATTGACCGCTCCACGCCTGAGCAGCGGCCCGTCCTGTGTGGCCACTTCACCTGAGTGAGCACATCACCCCTGTCACCTGAGAACCTCACCCCCTCCTCTCACCCTCTCACCCCTCCCCGTCTGTGGCTCTGGGGCATCAGGCTCAATGGGGCCTTATTAGCGGACCATCACGGGGGTCACTCACCTGCACCGGCCCAAACATGAAGGCCTTTGTCTGCGGAAGCCAATGTTTAGAGCAGGGGTGTCCAAACTTTTTAGTCAGTACTTTTTATAGCAACAGAACAACAACACAGAAAGTATATTATATCAGGCTGTTCTGAGCTTTAAAATGTGGAATAATTAGTCCAAACAGATTCACATTTGACAGGCGTCTGCTAGCTTACTATCACACCACAGCTACATTAGAGTCGTATATTCTATCATTTTTAAAACATTCACTGACATTGGTGTCTTCCTATGGTCCAATTCCATGTGTCCTATATTTTTCAATGGTTTTATTAAGTCCTCTGAGAAACTACTGTGGTGATTTAGGGCTGTACAAGAAAAAAATGTTTTGTATTGAGGATATGAGATTTTGGAAGTCAAAAAGAAATGTCAGTATATACAAATAAAATGAACAAGGTGGAGCATGTCTGTGATGGTGGAGCTTAAGTTGGATGACTCTGTGAACTCGTGTTTATGATCTCAATGGCTAATTTGGGTTAGCAAAGCAGGGGGCCGCATGACATGACAATACAATACAATACAATACAATACAATTTATTCTTGTATAGCCCTAGGTCACAACAGAAGTCATCTCAGAGGACTTAACAAAACCATTGAAATCACCAACACAGGTCAGAGAATCAACAGTTAAAACACATGAAGAATACAGTATAAAGCACACACAGAAGAAAATGTCCATACATGTTGTAGAATGCTAAAGTGTCCTGATCATCACCAATCCTTTCTGTTGGACACTAACTGTCCAACAAGACCCTCCTGCATCGACAAGGAAAAACTCTTAAAAAACCCAGTGGGAAAAAGTGAGAAACCTTGGGGAGCACTAGGGAAACCCACAGGGAGGGAGACCCATATGAGAAAGGGATCCGCTCCTCCGGACGGACAGACTAATGATCCAGGACCTAAGCTAGCTACAGAACGTGGACCAGTGGACGCTGAACGTGGACAGGTCCGGTGCAGGACTGAAGCACTCCCAGGCGGGTCGGGCGGGGCAGTCCGCAGGTGTAGATGGAAGAGGCCAGGCTCAGAGATCCCGTCATCGTACCATGAAACAGACAATGGGACAACGGGTGAATAGCAATGAACAAACTACAGTCAGAATCCTAAAAATGCTAAACAGATAAAGTAGGAAGGAGGAGAGGATAGTGCTCAAGTTACCATACTTCTCCCAGCAAACTGACTCCCTATGCAGCTTGACTAACACTCTGAGGAGTTTAACCTTCTCCGAGTCTTACCTTCCTAGCCATATGCTAAACTAAAGAGGACTGTTTTAAACCTAGCCTTGAATAAAGAATAACATACAGCATAATATATAACATAATATACAACATAACACAATACATTATTGAATAATATATAACATAATATATAACATAATACAGCATATATATATAATATATACACTACATATTATATATTACCTAATTATATGCTAAATTAAAGTAAAGTGCTTTAAGCCTGGCCTTGAATGTGGAGACCGTATCTGCTTCCTTAACATAAATGGGAAGCTGATTCCACAGTAAAGGAGCTTGGTAGCTAAATGCTCTGCCACCAACAGTGACCTTTGAGACCTTAGGGACCACCAGACGTCTGGCGTTTTGTGAGCGCAACGCTCGACCTGGTTGATACGACACTAACGTGTCTTGGAGATAAGAGGGAGCCAAGCCATTTATGGCTTTATATGTTAAGAGTAGGATTTTAAACTTTATTCTGTACTCCCACAGGGAGCCAGTGGAGTGATTTTAACACCGGAGTTATGTGCTCCCTCCTTTTGGTACCTGTTAAGATCCTAGCTGCTGTATTCTGAACGAGCTGGAAGCTCTTCAAAGAGGCTTTAGGGCACGCTGCCAGTAAAGCGTTACAGTAGTCGAGCCTTGAGGTGACAAACGCGTGAATGAGTTTTTCCGCGTCACTTTTAGGAAGGAAATTCCTAATTTTAGCGATGTTCCGTAAGTGGAAGTACGCCGTTTTAGTTGCTTGGCTTATATAAGCCTTGAAGGAGAGTTCTTGGTCAAAAATGACTCCAAGATTCCTCACAGTGTTACTGGGTATTATACTGACATTATCGAGAGTAACCATCTGGTTAGTGAGGGAGTCACGCAGGCGCTTCGGACCGAGTAGGATCACTTCTGTCTTCTCCGGGTTGAGAAGTAGGAAGTTAAGAGTCATCCACATTTTAAGGTCCTTTATGCAGGCACTGAGCTTTTCTAGCTGATCTGTCTGATTAGGCTTCATCGACAGATAAAGCTGTGTGTCATCTGCATAGCAGTGGAAATTAATTCCATGCTTTTTAATAATGTTTCCCAGTGGCAGCATGTAGAGAGTAAAAAGAATCGGTCCGAGTACCGAACCCTGCGGCACACCGAATTCCACTCCAGAATAAGGCGACGAGTCCTGATTCACATTGACGAAGTGATATCGATCTGATAAATAGGATTTAAACCAGCCAAGGGCTGTTCCTCTAAGACCTATATCACATTCTAGCCTCTGCAGTAGAATGCTGTGGTCTATTGTGTCAAATGCAGCACTAAGGTCCAGTAGGACCAGCACTGACACTTGTCCATTATCGGCAGCTAGTAGTAAGTCATTTGTGACTTTGACTAGTGCCGTTTCAGTGCTATGATGAGCTCTGAATCCTGATTGAAAGACTTCAAACATATCATTTTCCTGCAGGTGGCAGCGGAGCTGCTCAGCTATAAGTTTTTCCAGGATTTTAGATATAAAAGTGAGGTTTGAGATCGGTCTGTAGTTTGTAAGTATTTCTGGGTCCAGGTTTGTTTTCTTCAGAAGGGGTTTGATTACCGCGGTTTTAAAAGCTTGTGGGACATAGCCACATTGTATGGATGCGTTTATTATATTTACGATAGGCTCAATTATCAAAGGAAGTATGTCTTTGAAGAGCCATGTCGGGACTGCGTCTAACATGCAAGTTGAGGCTTTTGAGGATGTGACCACAGAGATCACCTCTGCTTGGCTCACAGCCATGAATTTATTAAGGCCCACTGAAGAGTCTAAGTGGGAAGTCACGTATGCCGCTTCAACCTGTCCACCACTAACAGCAGGAGCAACCTCCTCCAGCTTGTCACGGATGGATGTAATTTTATTATTAAAGAAGTGGAGAAAGTCGACACTGCTCAGTGAGCTTGGAATTTTAGGCTCGATTGCACTATGGCAGTTTGTGAGTTTAGCGACGGTACCAAACAAAAATCTACTGTTGTTTTTATTCGCTTCTATTAAAGTTGAATAGTATTGAGTTCGAGCCCCGCGAAGGGCCTTCTTGTAGTTTCGGAGACCTGCTTTCCACTCCCTGTGGACAGGCTCCGAGTGGGAGTGGCGATATAGCCTCTCCAATTTTCTGACGTCCTGTTTTAAAGTGTGGAGTTGAACACTGTACCAGGGCGACGATGATCTAATCCTAATGGTTTTCTGTTTTAAAGGAGCTGCTGCATTTAATGCAGATTTTAAAGACTCCATAGTGTTGCCCACCGTTTGGTCAATGACTGAGGGACTGCAGCTGCTGTGAACAGGTTCACCTGCAGCAGTATTCAACATAGGCTGTATTAGTTCTTTGAACCTTGTGATAGATTTATCATTTAAGGTTCTTTTCATTATGGTTTTATCTTGCGGGACAGGAAAGTCCTCCAAAGCGAGATCAAACGTGATCAAGAAATGGTCAGACAGCAACGAGCTTTGACGCTGGATGTCAACATTGGAGACATCACAGCCGTAGGTCAGGACAAGGTCCAAGGTGTGGTTATGAATGTGAGTAGGTCCCTCGACATTCTGAGTAAAACCAACACCATCTAGTACGGCGCTGAAAGCTTTGTTTAAGCTGTCAGTGCTGTCGTCCACATGTATATTGAAGTCTCCAGCTATAACTATGTTTTCCCATTCCAAAACTAGGTTTGAAATGAAGTCAGAGAATTCTGTTAGGAACTCGCTGTAAGGACCAGGAGGTCGGTATAAAACTATAAATAGTACTGCTTTTTGTTTTCTCCACCCAGGACAGGTGATTGAAAGTGTTAAGTTTTCAAACGAGTGAAAAGCGTTGTTGGTTTTGGGACTAAGAACCAAGTTGGTGTGTGATATAATCGCAACACCACCGCCGCGACCTGTAGCTCTGGCTTTCTGGTAGTTAACATGCGTCGGAGGAGTGCACTCATTCAATCTAACATGACAAAGGGGGCCTCAATCAAGCCCTAGTGATCCAAGATGGCGCCCTATTCAAATGAATGGCTTGTGCTCAGTAGTTCATGGGACTTCATGGGGACCGGGAGATTAGTAGAACTCGCCTATATTTGGGCATCGTCTGGTCCTCCCTATTCTGCGCAGTAGACGAGGTCCCATGATGCTTTGTGCCAAATACGCGTGCGTGGCTCTTATGCACGTGCACAGAGGGGCTTGGCCGCGCTCTGACCAATCAGAGCTGCTCATCAGAGGAAGGAAGGAAAGGAGCAGAGTTTGTGGCAGTAAAGTGTGGATTTAAAAGGATTTAAGAAGAGACACTAAAATTTCCACAAAGTCCGACCTTTATGAAAGCTGTAGGTTCTCTGTCAGGTTCTCTGTCAGGTTCTCTGTCAGGTGAGGTCGAGCTGTTTTAATTTACATTGAGTTCTATGGGACTTTTTTCTGGGTGATTTTAGTCTGCAGTACCAGACGCCCAGCGCTAAGCTAGTAATACCCTATCCAGTTATTATTATAGCTCCATGGCCGCAATTGGCCCCTGGGCCTTAGTTTGGACATCTATATCTGCTAAATGTGACGTGTACATTTGAGATCAATAAAGTGTATCTTATCTTTCATTCCTGTAAAGAACACTCAGATCGACCCTGATCCGTCTTGGATCCGAACCCAGGACCTTCACGCCGAGACTGCCAACCGCTATGCTAACAAACAACACCAGAAATGTCCCAAAATCTCGCCATTTAAACCCAACGTGGCGTTCAGCTGATGGAAGATCGTGACCGTGATCTGACTCGGCGCGATTTGCACATCAAACGGTTCTGCTGCAGGTAATGCGTCCTCGACAACCACTCAGAGACAGACAGGAAACAGCCGCTCCTTTCTTCTTCTGTCGTTTGATGTCGGACGCATTTTGGGACATGGTTCTCTCTTTATGTGGCGAGACAAACACAGAAAAAACATAAAAGCATCATTAGAGAGCGTGGATTTAACCCCTCACAAAAGGCACATCCGCAAACATGAGGCAGAGAGAGAGGGAGAGGGAGAGAGAGAGAGAGAGAGACACAGAAAGAGAGAGAGAGAGAGAGGAGGGAAGAGGGAGAGAGAGGGAGAGACAGAGAGAGAGTTTAACTCTCTGTCTTAATTCAGACTTAATTGTCTGTCTCTCCCTCCTTTTGTTCTTCCTCCTCTCTCTTCCTCCCTCTTCTCCCCTTCCTCTCTCTCTCTCCCTCCTCTCCCCCCTCCTCTCTCTCTCCCTCCTCCAGAGATCAGACATGTGTCCGTGGTCAGGTCTACTGGTTTTGGATTAAAGTCTGTCGTGTTTGATTCTGAGGCAGCAGCACAAAGACTGCTGCCTGAACAACCCTCAGAAAGGGATCCAGGTTTAGACATCGCCATATGGCAACTCGAGCAGTAAAAGGATTGAGGGAAGAGACAGCAGCCGCCATAGTACGAGTTAGCGGCTAGGCTAGGCTAAGCTAGGCTAGGCTAAGCTAGTAGCGGAATCCGGGCCCCGCACAACAGACTACGGAGACCAGACAAACAACCTATACCTAAACCTCACTGCAGTAATCAGCTGACTCGGGAGTGCTTACACAGTTAGCTTGGTGTACTAATACGTGGATTTGTAAAGTGTTTGCTTAGTGCAAACAGAGAGCAAGTGATAAGCAGTCAAGAAACACGCTCACCGGATACAGAAGTCACGTCCAGGATGCTTCGTCCCGTTTTTGTATTTTACACTGAAACCGAAGACGGCAGAGAAATGAACGAGAAATTGAGAAAGGCCTGAGTTTGACTCTGAGTTTAACGAATCACTTCCTTCCTTCTCCTACAACGCACGACAACAACTGTCTGTGAAGGAGAAGAAGACGAAGCGCTAAAAGCTAGCATCACGCAAATAATTCTTGTTGAAAATAAACAGTCAGAGCCAACGAGAGGGCTCCCACCTAATTAAAATTAGAATATAAGGGCACCAGTGAGTCACGTTGACACATGGATGAAGAAGAAGGGATCCTACACACTACAGGATACGAGCGAAGCGGGGAATTGTCAGTGTTGGCATCTGCAGTCACAAAAGTTAGAAAGTTTTGATTTATTGAGGAAAATGTGCAGTGAAAAAGAAGATGCTGTTGTATGTATCCATCCATACCATTCGTTCTTTCCCCTTAATCCATTTATGGGTCAGGGGGGTCCAGTGGCAAGTCAGAGCTACAACCCAGTCCACAGAGCACCAGCCGTGATCTTCAGCGAGTAGCTTCAGGCAAAGTGGGGTTACTTTTCTCTGCCAAGAGGACACAACGACAGAAGAGATCAGTCCCTGCCGCCTTCTCAAAAACCCCACACAAACTAGCACCCCTCCTGGCCTATATCCACCCCTCTGGATCAAGGCTAGGGCTTAAGTGTGCCACCCTGGTCGGCTAAGCAGTGGAGCGCTCGTCTTTGGTATTCCTTTGGCGTTTAATAAACGGTGCCGCACGTCTGTGAGGCCGCTGTCTCTGAGGAGTGCAGGAGCTGAAGGCCGAAGAGAGGAAGGATGAGCGATAACGATCTCCCACGTCTCACAGGCAGACACATAATTAGGAGTCCCGGGACTGGGAGGACCTCACCTGGCCTGATTAAGCCCAGTGCTTAATCTGCGCTCCACACCACGCTTCCACCCCATATTTTTAACCCTCTCTGAAACGGCATGCCGCGGCTGTATTGACGGGGTGTGGCGAAAGGAAGGAAGGAAGAGGGAAGAAGAAAAGGAAGTAGACGGAATGTCTGAGGAGTGTGAGTTCTTGTTAGAACCCTTTTACACTGAGTGGGTTTAAAAAGCATGAAAACTCTACAACCACACCACTAACAACCAACAACCACATATTACAATCATCAAAGTAAGATAAGATAGGTACAACCCAAAACGGATCTGAAGCGAGGTTAAGCAAGCTCCAAGTTCTATCTCCTACCTACCTACACCTACCTACCTACCTACCTACCTACCTACCTCACCTACCTACCTACTACCTACCTAACTATCTATCAATCAATCTATCTATCTATCTATCTCTCTATCTATCTATCTATCATCTATCTATCTATCTATCTAAACAATCCTATCTATCTAGCTATCTAATCTATCATCCATCCTAACTATGTCATCTATTATGTATCGTACCCACATTCCCACAGTAAAAATTACATTAACATTACATAACCTCTCCCCGACCTCCTCGCGCCCTATCCCCACATTCCCACCCCTCCCATTGTCCCCATCGCCGCCGACTCTTTAGGCAAATATCCTCATAACCATACCGCTCATACGTCTGCAGCGATGGAGCCCGGGCGCCTGTGATGAATGAAAGCCCGCCCCCCGCCGGTAGCCACCCCTCAGTGGTCCCTGGACTTGAAGCCCGGGTTGATGACTCCTGCGCTCCTCCACCACAAGGACGCAGCGTAATGTGCTGATGTGACGGGCCTCCACTCCTCTTGCTTGCTCTGTCTCTCTCTCATCCTTCCGAGCCGGATAGGCTGCCGTATCGAGGGCCATAAGAACTCCTTCGTGCCCTGGCTGTCGTCTCTATGGATTCTCTGAGCTGCGTATGCTTTACTGGACCTGTCTAAAATCCCAGTGTGCGCTGTACGGATTATATTTATTTGGTTTGACCCAGAAAAGTCATGGTATAGATTACAATTTTAATTTATGTTCTTACTGTTTTATTGTCTTTTTTGAGTTCTTGAGTTTGAGTTTTTTTTTTGAAAATAGTCCACGGGTTTTCCAGCTGAATTCGACTAATTTGTGAATGCACTGAGTCCGAAAATACCTTGGTTTTGCTCAATCAGGTCAAGATATTTTGCTACAAAATATTTTTTAAAATCGAATTTTGCGTAAAAAATCAAATTTCTGCGGATCATCAGCTGAGACACCCTTTGACGTTTTTTCCGTTTTCTCAAGAAATAACAGACAACGAATCCAAAGTCATTCAGCTTTTTTTTTACTCCATCAAATTTGATAACAGAAATCATAATAACGAAGTAATCTGAAACACTAGGCTGTATCTCAAAAAGTTGACCTGATAGAGCATAATTGTCATGTGGGGGGATGTTCTACTCAAACACAAAATTATCTAAATCAGTTGATGCAACCCCTGACTATTTTTTGCTGTCACCTTTTGTTATCAGTAAGAAGACAGTACATTACACACATCCATCTAACCATCCAACTTCTTCCCCTCAAACCATGTTTCATGGTACGAGGAGGTGGAAATACAGCCTGTACCCAATACAATCACACCCACAATCCTTCAGGCTCAACGGCCAATGCATTATCAGGCTGGGCGACAATATCTCAGTCGGTAGAGCAATGCGCCTTTTAGCCAGAAAGTAGAGGTTTGAGCTACGCACAAGAGTCCTAACAGTGTCTACCACCCATTCTGATGAGACACGGAAACGGACAAATCTTTATATTTCATATCTGAACCTTGTAAAACCAGTGCTGCAGACTGGAGCTGGATCTAGTCGGTCACACATAAAGTGTACCATCTCTGTCCGTACTCTCTCAGTGAGAACAAAACAAATTGTTGGGTGATAGTTAGCAGCTATTAAAACATTCAACCCATAACCATCCAGTCTCTAGTTTATGTTTTCTCCGAAAGGGCCTAGGAGCGACGGTATTGCCAGCTTTCTGTCCAGGAACGCCCTCTTATGTTAGTTCAATACATAATGGACAACGTGGAGAACATGCAAACTCCTCCAGAAAGACTCAATTAACACTAGGAGCGCCCTAGCGGTCAACTGACCGTCCACTCGACCTTTAATATGCTAAAATTAGGTATTCAAAACAAACGCAGAAGTTGAAATTTTAGGAACTTTTACTGGTACTTGTTGTTTTAATTTGGTGTATTTTGTTTGGAAAAAGTAAAGAAAACAATATTTACACGCATAGTTTACCTTTTCGAAACCACGAGCCCTTCTGCGGCCCCAGAGGGATACATGGCGCAGGGCGACTGGTTGTCATAGTAAACCTGTTCCCCCGTGGTTTTTCCGCCTTATACAAATGTATCAATATTTGTCATTAGACTCTAAAGGGACTTGAGGTTTTTATTTGGGAGAGAGAAAGAGTTTGATTGAGGAGATAACAACATGAATAGAGCTGGCAAGTACCCTGTGAGAAAGCAGCCCAACAGTGCTTCAAGACATTGAATGAGAACAGTCTGACGGAGGTGAATGACACAGGCGGGGAGAACACCCTATAATAAGACTAAATCTGAACGTAATACCCGTATTGGCATTCACGGCACGGACAGCAGTGTTGGAACAAGTCCAGAAGAATAACGCCCAGACCCGCGTAATTCCAGCATACGCCTCAGTGGTCTGTGTGCGCCTGCGCTCCACTTCTGCCTTTTTCATTCATCATCAATTACATGTTCTTATATTTAACATAAAGAAGTCAATAAAGCAGAATACAATATTCCGCAATAAAATAGAACAGATTAGATGAACTATCAAGGCAGAGTTGCAGATAGAGCTCTGTGCCCTCTCGTCACCCCCGCGGTACACTGCAGAGAGGACTGTGGGGTCAGAAGCTCCCTCATCTTTCAATAAGGATATCTTTCTTATTTGCATTTAATAACACAGGGTAGTTAATCTGCACAGCGCGCACTGCAAGCAACGATTATAATTTTCTATCTGAACATAAAGAGCACTGGGCATGTCTCAAATAAATACAAATAGTAAATATATAACGTGTCCCGTGTAACATTGAAGATGTACATTACGATGGTCAGCCTAGCGATGATCTTGTTTCAATACGAATACTAGTATTATTATCGAGATAATATTCCCACAGTGATTTCTGGCTGAAAGAGAAACAGTCCTGGAGATGACGTAAGAAGCAGCGCATACAGCACGCGCGAAGAACGTTATGGTCCCGGTGCTCTAAACTATCATTTATTTTGTATGATTTGACATCTGTGTTACTTAGATACAAATTAACATATAGTACAGTAGGTCCCATTCCGTTTTGTCGTCTTCATTCACGCTTCTCGGGAATCACGCAGCTGCGTGAAAAATAGTACATCTTATCGCCACAAGGTGGCAGGCTAAGTCCGCTTTAGCTCTGCCAGCGACTTAGACGCTCAGGTATAAGACTGCGTGCAAACCTTTCTAGCCCAGAGGTGTTATGTTGGCCGAATGGTTAGCATTAAATACAGGGACCTGGAGAACCCAGGTTCGATTCTTGTCTGAGGCACATCTTTTGGTTGCTTGTGGCAAAATTGTTTTTTCATTAAACAATTATTATATAACATCTTGTCTTTAATGTCTGAAAAAATCTAGGTGAAATTCACTAGTGTTATACGTTAAATATTGTGATATGTTTTGATAAACCGAACGTTACGTTAAATCCTCCGCTCTGGCCCCGGGAGCAGCTGCTGTGACCCCCGCTCTGACAGCTCAGTGAACGCACTGCAGTCTGGGCTCCGAGCGCGGACCATAGACACGCGGACTCACGTCTCTCTCTCTCTGCTCGCGTCTCTCTCTCTCTGCTCGCGTCTCTCTCTCTGCTCGCGTCCCTCTCTCTCTGCTCACGTCTCTCTCTCTGCTCGTGTCTCTCTCTCTCTGCTCACGTCTCTCTCTCTCTGCTCACGTCTCTCTCTCTCTGCTCGCGTCCCTCTCTCTCTGCTCACGTCTCTCTCTCTGCTCGTGTCCCTCTCTCTCTGCTCACGTCTCTTTCTCTCTGCTCGCATCTCTCTCTCTCTGCTCACGTCTCTCTCTCTCTGCTCGCGTCTCTCTCTCTCTGCTCACCTCTCTCTCTCTCTGCTCACGTCTCTCTCTGCTCTCTCTCTCTGCTCACGTCTCTCTCTGCTCACGTCTCTCTCTTGCTCGCGTCTCTCTCTCTCTGCTCACTCTCTCTCTCTCTCTCTCACCTCTCTCTCTCTCTGCTCCTCTCTCTCTCTCTGCTCACTCTCTCTCTGCTCTCTCTCTCTGCTCGCGTCTCTCTCTCTCTCTCTCACGTCTCTCTCTGCTCTCTCTCTCTGCTCACGTCTCTCTCTGCTCACACGTCTCTCTCTCTCTCTGCTCACGTCTCTCTCTCTCTGCTCACGTCTCTCTCTGCTCACGTCTCTCTCTGCTCTCTCTCTCTGCTCGCGTCTCTCTCTCTCTGCTCACGTCTCTCTCTGCTCTCTCTCTCTGCTCGCGTCTCTCTCTCTCTGCTCACGTCTCTCTCTGCTCACCTCTCTCTCTCTCTCTGCTCACGTCTCTCTCTGCTCACGTCTCTCTCTGCTCACGCCTCTCTCTCTCTGCTCACGTCTCTCTCTCTCTGCTCACGTCTCTCTCTGCTGCTCGCGTCTCTCTCTCTCTGCTCACGTCTCTCTCTGCTCGCGTCTCTCTCTCTCTGCTCACGTCTCTCTCTGCTCTCTCTCTCTGCTCGCGTCTCTCTCTCTCTGCTCACGTCTCTCTCTGCTCACGTCTCTCTCTCTCTGCTCACGTCTCTCTCTCTCTGCTCGCGTCTCTCTCTCTCTCAGTCGTCTCTCTCTGCTCTCTCTCTCTGCTCACGTCTCTCTCTGCTCACGTCTCTCTCTCTCTCTCTGCTCGCTCCGTCTCTCTCTCTCTCTGCTCACGTCTCTCTCTCTCTGCTCACGTCTCTCTCTCTGCTCGCGTCTCTCTCTCTCTCTGCTCACGTCTCTCTCTCTCTCTGCTCACGTCTCTCTCTCTCTGCTCACGTCTCTCTCTGCTCGCGTCTCTCTCTCTCTGCTCTCTCTCTCTGCTCGCGTCTCTCTCTCTCTGCTCACGTCTCTCTCTGCTCTCTCTCTCTGCTCGCGTCTCTCTCTCTCTCTGCTCGCGTCTCTCTCTCTCTGCTCACGTCTCTCTCTGCTCACCTCTCTCTCTCTCTCTCTGCTCACGTCTCTCTCTGCTCACGTCTCTCTCTGCTCACGTCTCTCTCTCTCTGCTCACGTCTCTCTCTCTCTGCTCACGTCTCTCTCTGCTCGCGTCTCTCTCTCTCTGCTCACGTCTCTCTCTGCTCGCGTCTCTCTCTCTCTGCTCGCGTCTCTCTCTCTCTCTCTCTCTGCTCGCGTCTCTCTCTCTCTGCTCACGTCTCTCTCTGCTCACGTCTCTCTCTCTCTGCTCACGTCTCTCTCTGCTCGCGTCTCTCTCTCTCTGCTCACGTCTCTCTCTGCTCTCTCTCTCTGCTCACGTCTCTCTCTGCTCACGTCTCTCTCTGCTCACTTCTCTCTCTCTCTCTCTGCTCACGTCTCTCTCTCTCTGCTCACGTCTCTCTCTGCTCGCGTCTCTCTCTCTCTGCTCACGTCTCTCTCTCTCTCTGCTCACGTCTCTCTCTCTCTGCTCACGTCTCTCTCTGCTCGCGTCTCTCTCTCTCTGCTCTCTCTCTCTGCTCGCGTCTCTCTCTCTCTGCTCACGTCTCTCTCTCTCTCTGCTCGCGTCTCTCTCTCTCTGCTCTCTCTCCCTGCTCGCGTCTCTCTCTCTCTGCTCACGTCTCTCTCTGCTCACTCTCTCTCTCTCTCTCTCTCTGCTCACGTCTCTCTCTCTCTC